GGAATCACGCAAAATGATGTTCAGATGGCGTGTAGAGCTCGTCGAGACGCATCGAATGGTATATCACATGAGGTGATTGGATGAGCAAAAGCTGGAGGATGAAGCTGAGAAAGTGGTTATTTTTGCCACGTCATCACTCGGACCCTAATTGACGAATCTGAAAAAATAAAACACTATTGGATAGAGCAAACCTTCTACTACAAGGTTACTGAAGGAACCATAGCAAAAAAATAAATTTTGATCTACCAAAAATGGAATTGAAAAGTTTGAGGTCACGTAGATCAAAAATGAAAAATCGAAAATCTACAGTTTTAGGCTTAAAAGATGCGCAATCAAAAAATCTACAACCCTTTTTTGTCTTGTCCGGAAATTCGCAAACATGTGCGATGCGCAAGGAAAAAACGAAAAAATTTGTTCAGAGAGCGCTGTTTTTTGAATTTTTCACCCAAAAAGTGGGGTCCCACGTTCTTGGCTATACAAGATGAAATGTGTCTAAACTCGAGCAGCATCTAATGGTACCATTCCGGTTCGAAAATTTTTTGCGTGGGCGGAGTTATGGCCAAAAAACGAAAAAAAAGTTTGAGGACCCGTAAACCGTCCGCAGATGGCCGAATCCAAAAATTTAAAAAACCATTCGATAGAGAATTTTATGCTCTATAAACTTACTGAACAATGCAAATCTCTAAAATAAAAATTTGGATATGAAAATTTGAGTCAAAATTTTATTTTGAAAAAAGTTACTCTATGTCCCCATGAGTTAAACGCTCTGATGGTATGGAAAAGATAGAGAATGAAATGTAGTATCAGATTCTGCAATAAAAAAGTTTTCGGGGCATATTCCCCATCGAGCTAGAGCCGTTTGAAAAATCGTGATTTTCAATATCGCCGAAATTTCGTACTCTACCCCCCAAATATTTTTACATATTCAAAAAGAGCATAAAAAAATAATAGGATTAAGATTTTAAAGTATGGAAAAAAGTTAAAATTTGACCATGTTAGGGCATGCCGAAAAGTGACTTTTGAAAATTTTTTAAATTACCGTAACTTGGCACGGTTTGACAATTTTGCAACTTTTAAAACCCTATCCGATAGAGAAAAAAATTCTACACAACATATGTGAAAACTGGTATCATCGGACCCCTAATGAAAGTGCCAGAAGGGCGCAAGTGTTTTACCCGAAATTCCATTTTTGGAAATCGGTCAATTCTGAATTATATGCTTCGAGACCACGATATTCGGAATCAGCGTAAAATTCTGATTCAGAAGTGACTAATTTTGTTGGGGGTTATCAGGAGATGAAAATTGCCCAATTTTGGTGAAAAATTCTGTCCAGAGGGGTACAGTAGCTACAGTAACCTAAAATTGCGAATATTGATCCAATCGATCTGAAACTTTGGGGATCGACTAAATTTGATATGCTGATAATTTTAAAAATATTTTCATTACCGTAACCCGGTTACTGTAGCTACAGTACCATTTATGACATTTTGGGGTACTGTAGGTCAGGGAATCAATGAAATCTTACCAAAATATTACTGTAGAATAAGTAAATGATGCTGAACACGATGACGTTGCTCGTTTTTCGAAAAACGCTCTCTATTTTGCGTTACGATCAAAAACATGTTTGCCATGTTTGGCGAGTGATTTTAATGAGAAAGCTCAATCAAATCAAAAAGTGAATATCACCATCGGATTCTACGTAAAATTCCGCGTTGAATGATATATAATATGTGGGGGTTGACGAATATTTGAAAATTTTCGCTTTTGGGGGTCCTAGGGGTCCGAATTTGATGAAACTAGTGCTACCGTAACCTAAATCTGTGAGTATTGATCCGATCGATCTGAAAATTGGACCACTGACTAAATCGAACATGCTGAATTTTTTAAAAATATTTTCATTACCGTAACCCGATTACTGTAGCTACAGTAACCCAAAAACCAACTTTTGTACCGTATTCGCTCAATTTTTCACCAATCGATCTGAAAATTTGCACACTTATAGAATAATAGGTGGCGAAAACGATCCAATTGGTCCCGTTACGATCATTTGATTACTGTAGCTACAGTAATCCCAAATATGGTTTTTTTGGAATAACGGCCTAAAAAGTGGGTTTAAATGCAGGGGGAGTAGCATATTTGGAATCAGCATGAAATTCTGCGTCGATCTATATCGATAACGTCCAAGGTTATCAGGAGCAAAATTTTTACATTTTTTTGGCGAATTTTCACAAAGTCCAGGAAAGGGTAAAATTTGAAAATCACGAATAGTGCTTCGATTGAAATGAAACTTGGCACATAGACTAAGTTTGATGCGCTGATTACGAATCTGTCATTTTTGTTACCGTATCTCGATTACTGTAGCAGTTATTCACGAAAACTTTTTTTTCGCCGAACTTTTGCTCCTACATGGTCAAAATCAAATGAATCGTTATGAAATTTTTACAGTGTTCCTATACAGTTACTGTCTAGGTTCACTTTGAAAATTTTTTCAATCAGACCATTATTCGCAAAAATCGTATAAATGAGGTCATAGCTTCGTTCAACGTGAATTTCATGAAATCGCATGGTGATATTCGGATTCAGCATAAAATTCCGCATCTATACATATATACTTTATGGGGGGTCCGAAAAACCCCTGAGGCGTTACGATTAAAAATATACCGTTTTGGGTTACTGTAGTTTTAGAGCTACCGTAACCCAAAATTGGCAATATGGCTACAATCGATCTGAAAACTTACATACATATTAAATCAAATATGCTGAATTCAAAAATCATGATGTAATTTAAGATTTCCAAAAGCTTCATGTCCAAAAATGGAAAAAACATGAAAATATGCGGTTTTTCACGAATTTTCAAGTGAATTTTGATTTATATGCAAAATGACTACTATATTCGTGATCAGCATTTAATTCTGCGTCAGATGATGTACATTTCATGAGGGGTTATCAGGAAACGCATATTGACCAAGTTTGGTGAAAAATTCCAAGTCCAGGAATTCTGCAGGTACAGTAACCCAATATCGTGAATATTGATCCAATCGATCTGAAACTTCGTCAGTTGACTAAATGAAATATGCTGAATCTTTTAAGAATATTTTCATTACCGTAACCCGATTACTGTAACTACCGTAATCCAAAATTTTCAAAAATCACCCACTTTATAATGTTTTATGGTCCAGGATGGAGTAAAAATCATTTATTTTTCAAAGCAATTATTTCTGTTCTAACGAACAGCCATAAAACTCCAGAAATCCCACCTCCAGTGGGGCCCCTTCGGGGAAGCTTCGGACGCGAGAGCGTCCCATAAAAGAGTATTTGGAATTGGCTGAGTGCCATAAAACTACAGAAATCAAGAAGATACCCCCGCCTGCGGCGGGGTGTGAGTGCCATAAAACAACAGAAATCAAAGGGGTCCCCCCCGCCTTCGGCGGGGGTGTGAGCGCCGAATTCCAAATCGGCCTTTTATGCTCCAACACGATTTTAGTCTCGTTAACATGACCGAGAGTTTTAGTTGATTATCGATTGATTATCGATTGATTATTGATTGGTTATTTATCAAATATCGATTGATTTGTGAGTAAATTGTTAATTTGTTTTTGATTTTGTGATTAATTTGTATTTGAATATCGATTTAATTGTGATTAATTTGTGATTGATTATCGATAAATTTAGTTGTATTCATCAATTTTGTAGTATCGATTAATTTCGTTGTGTTCATTAATTCTATTGTATTGTGAAAAATTTATGTCGAAAATAGAATTTGCATGTTTTGTATCATTTACAGCTGTCTGAAAAATTCATTGAGTAAAAAATGTGCGGAATGATTGTAAATTATGAGGGTCGTGTAATAAAATGTGCGAAACGTCGTAAAATGTGCCAACCGATTGTAAACTCTACCGAAATAGTCGATTTTCAATCAATTTACAATTTACAATTTCATCAGTTTTCCAAGGCTTAGGTAACCCCTTTCATTCAACTTTTGAATTGAAACAGAAAAGGCCGATTTGGAATTCGGCGCTCACACCCCCGCCGAAGGCGGGGGGGACCCCTTTGATTTCTGTTGTTTTATGGCACTCACACCCCGCCGCAGGCGGGGGTATCTTCTTGATTTCTGTAGTTTTATGGCACTCAGCCAATTCCAAATACTCTTTTATGGGACGCTCTCGCGTCCGAAGCTTCCCCGAAGGGGCCCCACTGGATAAACTTTAGTCTCGCGTAAATATCTTGCACTCCGTAGATGTTGTCATTATTTTGTTGTTTGTTAATGTTTTAATTAATGTTTTGCTTTAATTGAAAATAAATAATACAACATTGAAATCGAAATTATTACAATTCGTCTATTGAAATAGAAGAATTTTTAATCGTATTTGACGGTTTTTTGAATCGAAAATAAGTTTTCAAATCGGTTTCGATACTTTCTTAATCGAAACAGGTTAATTTATATTTCTTTTTTTTTTCAAAACCGATTGATTTTCATTTACCTGAGTGATGGTTGTTCCAAAAGAAGTTGAATCAAAACTTGTTAGTTCAAAATTTGCTTTCAATATATGCAACGAATTCCTTACAGCAATTTCGTGCGTAATATGCAAAAAGAGCAAATGTGAGAAGCCTAAGTGCGATTTTGAAGTCATTTTACCTCCAGTCTTAGGATTTTTTGCAATTTTGCACACGTAAAGTAGAAGGCCTTCTGAGTGTGTTCACAAAATTCCAACCTGCACTAGGGGTTCGAAATAAATATTTTTTAAACGATCCTAGTGCAGGTTGGAATTTTGGGAACACACTCAGAAGGCCTTCTAGTTTACGTGTGCAAAGTTACAAAAAATTCCAAGACGGGAGTTAAAATGACTTCCTTTATGAGTATAAGCTTTCATTCTAATAAAATATAGTAATAATACGAGTTACTTTATAATGCAGATAAGGCATTGATTATGATTGTGGCCCTAAAGAGGGCCGTTGGGGTTCAGTGTTGCTAACTGCAGGAAAGCAAAGAATAATCGAAATTATCCTCCGAATCCGTAGAGTGTGCGGCCTTGACGCTTGAGGGCGTAGACGACATCCATAGCGGTGACGGTCTTTCTCTTGGCGTGCTCGCAGTAGGTGACGGCGTCACGGATCACGTTCTCAAGGAAAACCTTGTTCACATTCAAGCTTTTCATCCACCAAGGCTCATCCAAAAGTATACGCATGGTAGTCCTCGGAATGATGATAAGCTAATCAAGATTCCCGATGAAATCTTAACGGTTCTAAAAGGTTAATTTCATATTCAAAAAATATGTATATATTGAATTAACGATATCAGAGGAATTTCTAGCGTATTTTTGCTTAAATGAGGAAATCCTGGATCAGCCGTATCCAGATTTCGAAGAATTGTCGATGAATTCGAAGTAAACTGGCAATATCTTCGAATATTTAGAACTTATTTCAGATTCTTCAACGCTCTAGGTCTAAACCGAAGTGAGAAGATCGGTGAGCTTAAAAAGCTCACTATTGCCAATCCAGTTCGCATCTGTATTTGATGCGCAATTGTATACTGCGCTGGCTGAGCTTCGCTATGGTCGCTTTAATGATGATGGTGGATTTTCGAGAAGAAAGGTATTGATTACTATACTTATTCCACTTAATTAAATGAATCCATTACAGAGGAAACTTATTGATAAATCGCCGAAGGATTAATTGCCTTCACCCAGAACGTCTTTGAAGAATTGTCGAATGGAACAGTCAAAAAAATTGTCCAAAAAAGTAGTTTTCAACAAAAATGTCTCTCAATTTTTGAATGAATCAAAAATTACAATTTTCGAATTTCACGGATCCGTTCATTGAAAAAACCTATCTTTCGAAAAATTCAAAGACTCATTACTCCCACTACTATTCTATCACCTTTGTTTTTTTTTTTTAAATGTTGTTTGTTATTATATTTGTTTTATTTTTTGTTGTGCGTTTTTATAGATAAATTTTAAAAAATTGAAGTGGAATAAGAAATTTTACGAGGGCTGATGGGCGAATTCGCCTAATAGTAGAAGCGATTCATTGTGAAATAAATAATACTTAGAAATCGAGACAATTTGAACTTCGCATTCGTCAATCGAAATAGAAGAATTATCAATCGTAATCGAAGTTTTTTGAATCGAAACAAAGTTGTAATTCGATACTTTCTTAATCGAATGGGGAAACGGAAAAATTGAGTAACTGAGATTCTAGATACTAAAAGTTCGATTTTTGGTTTAAAAAAAAGGGAAGGGTTGTATTTTAAAAAATCACCAGACCATTCGAAAACTGTGGTTAGGATTACTTCAGACCGATAAACTTGAAAAACTAAATTATGATAATAGTACAAGTAACTAACTTTATAATACAGATAAGGCATTGAGTATGATTGTGGCCCTAAAGAGGGCCGTTGGGGTTCGGTGTTGATAACTGCAGGAAAGCAAAGAATAATCGAAATTATCCTCCGAATCCGTAGAGTGTGCGGCCTTGACGCTTGAGGGCGTAGACGACATCCATAGCGGTGACGGTCTTTCTCTTGGCGTGCTCGCAGTAGGTGACGGCGTCACGGATCACGTTCTCAAGGAAAACCTTGAGCACTCCACGGGTCTCTTCGTAGATCAATCCAGAAATACGCTTGACTCCACCACGACGGGCAAGACGGCGAATAGCTGGCTTGGTGATTCCTTGGATGTTATCGCGGAGAACTTTGCGATGGCGCTTGGCTCCTCCTTTTCCAAGACCTTTTCCTCCCTTTCCACGGCCGGACATGTTGACTCGATGCAGATGTTACTCGAAATGAGCTTAGCAAGACTGAATACAGCGCGTCTTTTATACGACTGTAGGCGGAGTTAATTTGAACCCCCGCTCCGCGACACACCAATGTTTGCGGTGAGTGACTCTCTCTCCTCGTCTCGCAACGGCATGCTGTTTGCTTGTGCATTAACGGGCGCATATGTGTCGCGGTGTGGTGGTTCAAAATGACTCCGCCCCGTGAACCTGCGTATATAAGATCCAGTGATCGCGGCAAAACATACGAGACAAGTCTCTGAAAGCATTCGAAATGGCCCGTACCAAGCAAACCGCCCGCAAATCAACCGGAGGAAAGGCTCCAAGAAAACAATTGGCTACCAAGGCTGCCCGCAAATCGGCCCCAGCCACCGGTGGAGTCAAGAAGCCACATCGCTACCGTCCAGGAACCGTCGCCCTTCGTGAAATCCGTCGTTACCAGAAATCGACTGAGCTCCTCATCCGCAAGTTGCCATTCCAACGACTTGTTCGTGAGATCGCTCAAGATTTCAAGACCGATCTCCGCTTCCAATCGTCGGCTGTTATGGCTCTTCAGGAGGCCGCCGAGGCCTACTTGGTCGGTCTTTTCGAAGACACCAACTTGTGCGCCATTCACGCCAAGCGTGTCACCATCATGCCAAAGGACATTCAACTCGCCCGCCGAATCCGAGGAGAACGAGCGTAGATCGCTTGCTCTGCTTGATTAACCGAACCCCAACGGCCCTCTTTAGGGCCACAATTATGGAACTGTTCAGTTCATTCAATAAATACAATGTATAAAGTTTTTCCTATGCAGGTGTGTAGCTAAATAGAAATTAAAACAACTTTGATAAAAATAGTAATTAATAGATTTTCTGCCATTTTTGAAAAGTTAAAAACTGGTTCTTCAAAGTTTCATGAAACTAAATTTGGCTTAGTTTGTTCGAAAACCCCTGAATGATCGAAGAATGTGTTCGTCGAACCAACAGATGTTCATTGTGACGTCACAGAAAAGACGCGCAAAATTGGCGGGAAACGATTAATTTAAAATAGTGGAAAAAATAAAGAATTTTAGAATAAAAAAGGGAATTATCTTTGAGGCAAACAAAGATAAATCAAGATAAATGAAAATCAATCGATTTCGAAAACAATTGTTTTCAATACGAATTTAAAATCGAAAATTTCTTCGTGCGTGACATATTTTTTTGCGTGATCTTCAAAAATCAATCGAGCTCATAATCATTTCAATTCGCGTTCAGAACCGTCCGTCCAATTCGATTGGTGAGATTTTGTTTTTAATTTTGATATATTTTGTAAGGCTTTATATCTGTTTTGAACTTGTTGGCAATTAAATATAGATGAGGACAACTGCCAGCGATAACTCGATAGTCGATCGCAAGTATCTTGCGATTCGCTCATCGAGGACCAATTCGTTGAATCGAATTTGTCGCTATTAAGCCCGCACGAGCGCGGTGGCCGGTCAAACCACCCGGCCGCCGAGAAACGCTCCGCCTCGGTGGTCCGAAGGGCCCGACGACTGTAAAGGAGGAAGTCCGCTGGCGGTTGTGTGGTTTGGAATATCTCTCAAATTGCGAACCTTTTTTATTTCCAAAAAAATATATATTTAATTAAAAAATACTATTAAAGGATATATAATATTCTTTTTTCATGAGTTCTTCTCGGCGATGTCGATTCCGAATTGATGCGAACTTCAACAGGAGTTATCTGGTATGAAATACGCATTTTAATGTCTTATTTGCAGTTTTGTTTCAAATTTGCCAATTTTCTACAATTATCCGGTGAGTCTTCATGTATTGATTGTCGATTCAAACGACTGATCGAAATCCAAACTAAATTAACTCTCCTTTTTTTAATATTTAGTAAACGATAAATTTAAATCTACACTGATTTCACGAATTTGAATTTCCCGCCAACGATCAGTCATTTGAAACCTACTATAAATTTGTTTTTAAGTAAAAAAAAAGCTCGTTTCAATTATAATGTTTTGGTTCTTTTTCGGGGAATATCGCCCGCCGAGCATTTTTGTTTTCATTTTTTTTAACGAAGCCTTTAAGGCTAAGGGGAAAGAAGAGAGTTAAACGAAGATTAATTTTATGAAGACAAAATAAAATATTGCAAATGTTCAATGCAGAAAAAACCGAAATTAATAATATTTTTCATAATATATATTTCAAATTTCCCGTATTTCAGGAACCACAGCAAACCGATTGATGGACAGCTCTTGGCTTTGCACTCCTTATTCCAATATTTTTTAATCTGTTTTGTTTTTTCTTAGCAGTCACCCCTTATAAGCGGGTGACCTGCTATCGCTTGTTTTATTTATTTGCTGTTGCTCTTCTAGTTCGTAGATTCTTCGGTTTCGTTCTGAGTCGACAAAATTGCAAAACAGTATTTTTCCGTCGGTTCATCAGTTGAATTGTCACAATGATTTGTCGAAGTTGCGGAAAATTGGCTAAATGCCAAAAAAAACAAAGGCAGTGGTCTTGGCACGATAATAAGTGTAGATTTACGGTCCTAAGGACGGCGTACATGAGGGGAGTCTCCTTTAAATGGTTGGAATTTGTGTACCGTACTCTGCATATCGATTATCACAGAAGTTGGTGTCAAATATTAATCGGGTCATTCCTCACAGCTGGAATTCTTTGGTTAAATTCGATAATCGACCGATGACGACGCCAAACCAACAAATGTGCTTTGCGACGTCACAGAAAAGACGCGCATAATTGGCGGGAAACCATTAATTCAAATCCTCTGGTAAAAATGAAAATCGATCGGATTCGGAAACGATTCGTCAAAAAAAAGAGTGACGAGATATTAGATTTTCGAAAAGAAGAGAGAAATATATTTCAGAAATCCAATACACAACTATTAAGGTGACGACTATCCGTATCAGTTCAACAATTTTTCATTCACTAAGTTACTTATTTTTATTTGTATTAGAAAATCATCAATGGAAATTATTGAAAATGATATTTTTGGACATAAAGAGCGTTAAAGTAGATATTAAAGACACCAGCGAAATTTGATTTCGCGCTAATATAAAAAAAACGCGATTTATAAATCAAATTGTTCAAAATCATCATTGAGAATATTTAGATTTTCGAAATGAAATCCCAAATTTCCGCATAAAATATATTTAACAAAACCAATACGTATTTATTACGCCGACTATCATTAATTTTAACACATTTTCATTGGTATGACTAGATTTTTTTATTTCTACTAGAAAACTATTAATGCAAATAATTTATTTTATCAGCAATTAAATAAGATTTTGTGGCCCTAAAGAGGGCCGTTGGGGTTCGGTTATAGCAGGAAAATTCAACGAAGAATTTACTTGCTGGAGGTGTACTTGGTGACAGCCTTGGTTCCTTCCGAAACGGCGTGTTTCGCCAATTCTCCCGGCAAGATCAATCTGACCGCGGTTTGGATTTCGCGAGACGAGATGGTCGATCTCTTGTTGTAGTGGGCCAATCGGGAAGCTTCAGCGGCGATTCTCTCGAAAACGTCGTTCACGAACGAATTCATGATCGACATAGCCTTCGACGAGACTCCGGTGTCTGGATGGACTTGCTTGAGAACACGGTAGATGTAGGTCGAGTACGACTCCTTTCTCTTGTTGTGTCTCTTCTTGGCTCCATCACGGGGCTTCTGGGACTTGGCGGCTTTCTTTGCTCCTTTAGCAGATGGTTTTGGTGGTGCCATGGCGAATTGGTTGAACTTGTAGACTCAAGTATGAGGAAACCGTGAATCATTTTCTATTTACGATTATGCGCGGAGGGGGAGGAGTCATGAGAGGTGTCGTAGAGTGAGGGCAGTGAGACATCTGCTGCTATTCGTATACGAATATTGAAGGTCACATGTGTCGCGGTACGAGGACATACTCCGCCCCCTCCGCGTGGACCCATTTATAGTAAAACATGAGATTCTGTCCTTTAGTGTATCAACAACACAAACCTAGCGACTTCATCATGTCTGGACGTGGAAAGGGAGGAAAAGCCAAGACCGGAGGAAAGGCGAAATCTCGTTCATCGAGAGCCGGACTTCAATTCCCAGTCGGTCGTCTTCACCGTCTTCTTCGCAAAGGAAACTACGCTCAACGCGTCGGAGCCGGAGCCCCAGTTTACTTAGCCGCTGTTCTCGAATACCTCGCTGCTGAGGTTCTCGAGTTGGCCGGTAATGCTGCCCGTGATAACAAGAAGACGAGAATCAACCCAAGACATCTCCAGCTTGCCGTTCGCAACGACGAGGAATTGAACAAACTTCTCGCCGGTGTGACCATCGCTCAAGGAGGAGTTCTCCCCAACATCCAGGCTATTCTTCTTCCAAAGAAGACTGCCGGAGAAAAGGAGTAAACTCTTGTGTCCACACACTGCTAACCGAACCCCAACGGCCCTCTTTAGGGCCACAAATATTTATTATTGTTCATTTCATTCTAATAAAAACTTCGTTGTCGCATTCTTTAAAAGGAACGATTTATGCTAAAACTGAATGAGAAAACGGGATTAGCACTTTCGACGTGAAAATTTAGGTGCCGCTCCTCCAGCCCGGCGAGCGCCGCCCTTCTGAGGTAGTTGAAACGTTATCGATAGAGAGTCTAAGATTGTCGCAAGTTTTGCCTTTCCAATAATTGAGACTGGTCCATCAGCTTTACCAAGACGCGCAAGCATTTCTTCCTTAAAAAAACGAATTTAATTCGTCAATAGAAATTCGAAGTAATACCAGTGAGACGGGATGAAGCGACAAGACATGATTGTAAAGTTCAACATTTTCGGGCAATTTGATCCATTCCACAAATGCTTTGCGCATTCCTTCGATGTCATGTTTAGAATTGACACATGTTTGTGTTAATTCTTCTTCCTCCGCGATTCCATCTTCCATCAGAACCACTTCATCGGACATATTGAGTGTTTTATCAGCGTCATCTTCAATGTCTTCGATCGAATTATTTGCGGGTTTCTGCGGAGAAAATCTAGCAGCAAGTGATGGTTTAATTCTCTTTTTCGGAACTTCCTCGGGTTTTGATTTCTCAATGTGTTGAATTGGCCGAATTGTAGGAGTATAGGGATTGATTACTGAAGAAACGATTTATAGTATGTCTGATTCTAGAGCGAAATTACCTGGATGAAGTGTCTCGTATGCTTTTTTCAGAATCTCAATCATCTTTTTGCGTCCACGCGGTCTCTGTCCAATCGCTTTAACCTGCTCTTTCAGCTCATTCTCATCCATCGAATCATAATTTGGCATCGGTGTGATTTCATCGGTTTTCAGAATCTTCACGTTCGAACCAAATCTAAGGAAAAAAATATTAACATCTTCTCAATTTGAATTTTCCAAAGTTACGCCAGTTTTTCAATGTTTTGAATATTTTGTGGTGTTTTCGGAACATCATTATCAGCAATAATATCGTCATCTCCTATCGATTCAATGACGGAATTTGAGCAAATCTGAATTTGAAACTACTTGAGTTACCTATGAAAACATACTTGCTCGTAGACAGGTGGCTGCCAATTATCGAACGAATCTTCGGGCAGCACAAACGATGTAGACTGCAAAACTTCAGTTACTGGTCCCTAAAATTTTTAATTCTAACATTTTAAAACAGGAATCGACGAATACATCTAAATTTTCAGATTCAAGCGGCTCCGATTCACGTTCGCGTATATTAGAAGTGACGAACGAATCGATATTCTTCTATAAAATATTTTTAAATTATTTCAATTTTTTAATTTAATCTTACTTCGTCAGTTTTAACAGCACTTGATCGCCTCCTTATATTCATTGGGGTGCAGAAGCTATCATTGGCAAAAGATAAGTTGGAATTCATTCCGAAACCACACAACGGATCATCATTGTCGAAAGGATCAACATCGACAGGTTCCGGGCCATTCTCAGGCACAACCTGAAATATGACATCTTCTGACATAAAAAATTCAATTACCTGTTGAAAGATTTGTTTGTCAATTTCTCGCAGCGATTTTTTCTCCATTTCCTTCTCGATAAGTCGTTTCGGTAAATCAGCGGGCCCATATTTTTCCGCCAAATCAAATATTTCATCTTTTTGCGAACCATCCCATTCAATTTGCGCACAAAACACGTAGGCTAGCCAATGCCGAACAACCTAAATCAATATTTTTGAAAAAAATGCATTTTTTAAATTCAAAATTAACGAATTACTTCTTTCTTGTGCTGAATTTCGAACATTTTTTCATGGAGATTATTTCGATTAAAAAGCGTCGTTCGATGTTTGAGAACATTTCGTCGACATTTCATTTCGCCATCTAAACACTTCAGCAAAATCGGTGATTCATCGCATGTCTCGCCATCTTCCATTAATTTGCGCATATCAATCGATAATTGTTCAAAGCGAGCAACCTAAAAATGCGATTATCATATTATAATGTGCTGAAAGGACCTTATCAATCAATGATTTCAATTGAAATGCGTTTTCAGACAAATTTTCAGAGATTTGCGAAGACTTCGACGATTTGCGAACGGCAAAATTGTCTAAAAAGCGTTTGTGAAGAGTTGTGAGCACTTCACATTGACATTCTCTTGGTGCCAATTCGACAACTGCATACGATCTTGGTCTTTTCCTTTTCCGATTCGCTTCTTCACAATTCTCGATTCTACAAAATCAACATTTCGTTTCCAATGATTAATTTTTATCATAATTCTTACGCTGAATATTTGATGTCATCGGTTGTCATCCATTTTTTCGCATCTTCTTCTTTCACTTCCAAATCCACATTGATTTTCTTCGAGTTTCTCAATTCCGTCTTCTTTTTACAATCAATTCTATGTGATTCTCTTCGTATTTTGCTCCACGAGCTCATATCTTTATGGCACATTTCGCATTTGACAATAGATTTTGGTTTCGTTCGTACAAATTCTTCGTCGGAATCGTCATCGAGTACAATTTCTTCGATTTTCGTCGATCTTTTTGCAAAAACGTCGTCCGCTGAGATCATCGATTGCACATTTCCGTGTTTGGCAGGTCGCCTCAAATCAAACATTTAATTTATTAATCATTGTTCGAAGCGGTTGGTCAAGGGGCCGATTGGGACGAATTCGCCTTTCGACGCCCCTTATCCATGAGTATTCGTGAAAACAAACTCACTTTGGTGCACAAATTGAACTAAAATTGCAAGACGTTCCTAGAGTTTCATTGCTCATTAGGTTTTCTTAAAATCAAAATTTCAAAGGTTCGATTAATTTTTTTAAATAGGAGAAAAGTTGGAAAACCTTTTCAAAATTATGACGGTTCCAAATTTCGAATTAATTCATTCTTTCAATATTTAAAATAAATGAAAAAAGGACAAAACGACGATAAAAAAGATTTTGAATGAGAAAAGTAACTCGCTTTTTTTTACATTATAAGATCATCTAATGTTCGGAAAAGCAATCAAAAATCAACAACAACAATATCTAATTCAATAATTATTATTTTCAATTGTTAAAACAAATAAATTAAACAAAAAAATCGACATTGATTGAAAACATTAGATAAACGGAGGATTAAGAGCTAGCAGATAATGAATACAAGTTTAGCAACAATTACGCGTAAGTATGTTGCGAATGATGTCCAGTGTGAAGAATATGAGAAGCACTAGTCGGATATCCGCGTCTCATTTGATCAATCGGCCGCTCATTGAAGTGTTTTTTAAACCAGACCATCATATGATCAAGAGAATCAAAATTTTGATGACGGAACCGAATTCCTCGTGGATGGACTGAAAGTTTTTGATTACGATCTGATTTGGAATTCTCCTTTGTCTAATTTTCAGTTAACAAAAGAAAATTAAAAAAAAATAACCGAAACAAACATACTAGTAAAGTATTCGTGTCGAATTCGGCCAGTGTTATCGAATTGATACGAAATGCAAAATTGGCAGGGCCTTTTTTGAGAGGCGCTGAATACATACGCATTTCTGCCTAATTCATGTCGCTTCATCCGCACGAATTCTTCAACAGCTGGGATATTTTCACTTGGTTCGTTGTTAAAGAAATACTGCAATTGAATATTTTTATTGAATATTTAAAAAATTTGAAAAATACCTTATGAGATGTTATTTCGTGTGAAATTTGAATCATCGGTTGTACAAATCGAGCGATCAGCTCGTTGAGATCTTCAAATTCTTCGTCACTGAATATAATTATTTAAACAAACAGTTGAATATTAAAAACATACCCAACAGTTAGTTGTTTTCCAATCGAGAAAATTTGATCTTTAGCGGATTCTTTCACGAAAAAATTGTGATAAATATTATTCGCAATCTATAAAAAATAATTGTTTAAAATTAAAAACATTTAGATTTAAAAAAAAATTACCTTCCATGTAACGGACAAACTAGAATCCTTGTTCGAGGATGGTCGAATTATGCATTCAGTCTGAAAAATGGATAGCCAATAAAAAAATCAAGATATTTCGAATGGTACCCAATCCATTGAATCGAGCATTTTGACGGCTTCTTCATATGAGATATTATGGAAATTTGGATGAGAAATAACTCGTTTAACTCGAGTATTTGCTTCATTTTTCCTCATCTTTTCACTAATTGCTTCTTGTTCGTCGTAAGCCGCCATATCCGCATCAAAGTAATCGTCCATTATATTCGAATTCGTTTGTAAATCAGACGATCTAAACAAATTTAAATATTACGTTTAACGAACATTTGTTCGGTTTAAACCTGCAGCTTAAAATATACGAAAATCTCTCTTTGTTCACATTAATAACTCGGAACCAATACGGTTGATTTAGCTGAAAAAAAACGCATATTTTTGGAAAAATTAATGAGAGACAACCTTAACACGAGTGAGTGGATCGTCGATATGATCCTTGGAGATATTTTTATTCGGACAGAAACCGGTCAAACCATTGTCAAGTCGCACTTTGATTCCAACTGGTGTTCCTGGGCATCCTGTTCGACGATCCTACAATTACGAATTGTTACATAATGCACTAAATCGCAATTCTGTTACCTGTGATGAAATGTGTTCTTGAATAGTTCCAGGATCTTCAGCCGAGAACTGCTTGCAATAAGCACATCTGAACATTCCATTCGAATCAGTCTCGGGAAGTCTCTCATTCTGAAATTAAAAAACGAAGTATTTCTTTTCTCAAAATCAATTAAATTCGTACTTGGCTTATGTCGATTTTCTTGTACTGGACGGCTTGCACGGTTCCAAGCACTCTCTGCCCTTCATGAATCTCTTTACCACTCTTATTTATCAGATCAAACAACATCTGAACACATTATTCAATAGTTAAATATTCAATTCAAATCAACAAACTTCGTTGGACAATTCCTCGAACGGATCTCGCAAATCCTTATATCTCGTTGTCAATTCGCTTGCGATATCATAGAGAGTCGCTTTCTTTTCACCGAATCCTTGTCGATTCAATTCCTCAGCAAAAGCATCCAAATCAAGATCCTTTAGTCTATCAGGGGATTCCATAATTTCCATCAAAGCAGTTGTCGGATCCGCAGAATCGTCGACTTCAAGAGCATCGACAGCCATCTTACGCGCCCATTCGTAAGTCTCTGGATGAACTCGAGATCCGTCGAGAACTTCCACATACGCATCAGTTCGCTCGGACACTTTTTCGGTGTCGATTCGAATGAATCCAGCACAGTTCATAAAAACTTTTGGACCGAGTTTGCACGTTGTCACAAGTTTTGTGCGGCTTTCAATTAAATTATCGTTCTGAGTTTTAATTGAACATTACTTATTAAAGAGAATTAATGAGACACTTACCAATTTGATATATTTGAGCAATGAAGCAGCTTTTCTTGGTCCAAGTCCGCACACAAATTGTAGTTGATTTGTGTGATGAGGGAATTCGACACATCTCAAATTTTACGTATTTACACAACAACATTTAATATTAATTATTAATTACTTGTTGACGTCGACTCCAACCTCATTCACTTTGTTCATTATTTCGTGCAAAAGACCGTTCGCCAACAATTCCTGAAGTAGTAATAATTAAACTCAGAATTGAATTGAAATCGATGCCTGCTCAATATCACGCTGTAACGGATGGAACGACAAACAGAAAAAGTCGTCGTCGGAATTCCACAAATGGGTATACTCGGGAATCGGATCAAGAAGGCATCTGGCCATCGAGACTGCTTGTCGCAAAATGTGTGGGTAATCGGGATGCTCGCTGAGTGCCGAATTCGATTTCATGTATACCTTGGCAACTTCGGTATCCATAAGAACAACGGGAGGTATACGTGATATAAGGCCTTCGCTTTGAATTTCCTGAAGCGCTTCTTCGATGTCTCGCTGCAAACAAGAACCAAATTGAAAACAGTTGTCGCTAATCATCGTTACTTTTAATCGCTGGCACTCAATATCCTCAATATTGAGTCCAATGACGTGAGGCCTTCGCCGCTGAACAAATTTTTTGAACAAATCCATCGATTCCTTTTTGAGTTCGCGAGTCGGACCATTCGCAAACGATCTCTTTGTGAAATGAACCATTCGTAAATAATCAACAACAACGCCATTTTCATCAACCATCACACCAAAGGTGGCTTCATCTTTTCCTGGCGGATATGCAATAGCCATGATCCTTTTTGATCCGTGATGATCCATTTCTTCCTCGTCTTCATCATCATCATCAATTTTTTGTGGAACAAAACCAGCATGTTTAATACGACTGGCTAGAGCAATTCGGCAACTCTGAAATAATCGACACGAAATTTTCAGAAACCAAAAATAATAATGAAAATACCTGGACAACGCTTGATTTGGCTTCATCAAGCAGTGTACTGTAGAGTTCATCAATCATATACGGGACCAACATTTCAGTAATTGCCATTCTCACGCATTCGTTCCTCACTGCATTCCATTCTTCAACCAATTGAGTGTATTCGTCTCTATGAAACGGTTGATCCACAAGAAGTCGATCGGCTAATGTGTTTCCTTGGACCTTATCCTCATCGGTATCACAAGTCAGCATCAAATCAATTAATCCTTCTTCCTTCATTTTATGATACCACAAGAATTCGTCATCTTTCAGATTGCTAACTGGTTTCTCTCGAATATACCTAAACGAACAATGCAAGAAAAGAATGAATAAATACAAAGAATACCTTTTGTAATACATTGGATGTGAATCATCGAGAGTATCCCTTCCTTTCTTTGTCGGCCTCACGTATATTTTTGCCGTATTTCGGGTTTCGCGACGAACTTTTTCTCGAACCTAGAAAAAAAACGTTTCATACATTCAAGTAATAATCACAAAATAAACCATTGGTTGACGGCTAATCTCCTTGGCGAGCATGAATTTGGCTCCGTTCAAAACCATTTCTCTATCCGGAAATGACGAACATATATACGCTTCGGCAGCATCGAGCGGCAATTCCTCGTCCTGTTCCACTTCGTGCTTTTTCCAATCGAGATTCTCGGCAAACTGCTTCGCTGTCAAGCCGAATCTTCCAGCGAGTTCGCCGATTCCATTTTCGACGCACATTTTGTATTTGTCGTTACGAATACTAGCACGAAATTTCACCTTATATTCCTCTTCCTCTCCATCTTCTTCAGACTAAAAAAATAATAAATATAATTGTAAAAAGGAGAAAAAGAATACCTTATTCATTTTCTCCCAATTAGTCATCGCTTCGAGACTTCCACCGTATAAAAGTTGAAAATTGGCGTGCACGTCGGTCAATTGCTCAAAAGTTTCGATGAACTTGATGCTAAAAAAGTCAAAATTAATATTTATCGATCTAAAATCAAACGGTACTCGATGATATCTGTCTCTGTGATCGGTCTTCTCGCAGCCATCACATCATCGCTATTCTCTTGATAAAATTTCATTCGCTCAAACAAATTTGTAAGCTAAAAATAATATTTGATTTAATTTGGACTAATGAATTACGGCGACGCCAACCTTGTTCTTCTTATCGTTCATATGGCACCACTTTTCATCGAAATCGTAAACCGTCCACAAATTATTCATGTTCAATCGTTGATCGATACATTCTTTACGATAAAATGCGATAAACGGAACTTCGAATGAGTTGTTTTTGACGCGAATGAATCGAAGGACTTCTCGAATTGAACTTATAATCTCCTCCTTCTTCATGTCGGCTTCTTCACCAATTTCTCCACTCAATCCTTCGAGCTTGTCATTTTCCTTTGCAATCACTTGATCCGACACTGTTCTTGTGTCAAATGCATATTTGAAGATCCATTTAGCCTCTCTGTCGAGCTCATCGTCGTCACATTCCGTAACTGGAGTTCGTCGAAGTTGGAACCTTAATTTAAAGACTTCATTAAGATTTAAATGAAAACAGCTTAAAGAAAACCTTTCCGGAGCGTCTTCCATCATAATTTTTTTATCCGCAGCTCCCAAAAATCCTTTATCTAATTCACTCGGCTCAATAGATTCAAGCAACGTTTGCTTTTTGAATTGGGATCGACTTCGTCGAATCTAAAAGAAATAAGATACTCAAAAAATGAAAAGAACAAAAAAACCTTAATTTCTCCTCCTTCTCCATCATCTTCTATAATTTCCTCTTCTTCTTCTTCATCTATGCCGTCTTCGACGTCATCATCTTCATAAAATTCATCGAAATTAAAATCTTCAACTCCGAAAATATCGCGAGCATCATCGGCGGCGCCTTCCGGAATATTTTCATCTCGTCGGTGACGATGCCTTTTGTGTCTTTTCGGTCCATCACCATCATCTTCGATGAAATTGTCCTCTAAAATTTACATTTTAAAAAGAAACTATTTGAAAACTCACCGCTCCGCTCAGAATCTGAATATTCATCACCGGAGCCTCGTCGCCGAGCTCCTCCGCGTTCTGAAGCTTCATCATCCGAATCTCGCCCATTATCAAACAAGTTCCGACCAATTCGTTGTTGATCGTCCTCATCAGAATCGGCGAGTTCGACTCGGTTGCTCTCACGAGCTTGCCTTCTATCAAGATTTTCATCGATCAAATCAAGATCGTCATCATCTAGCTCATCAAGATCATCGTCCTTATCGGATTTCTCTTCTGATTTTACGTCATCATCCTATTGAAATAAAAACAATGAGTAGCTATTCGTTTTCAACGTTTACCTCTTCCTCTTCCTCTTCGTCCGCAATAAATCCTTTCATTTCTTCCCTTCCCTCATCGTCATCATCTTCGTCATCGTCATCGTCAGAGCTGGAAAGAAAACAATTTCACAATGGTAGTTTAAAAATTAAGACCTTTCTATTCTTTTGCTCTTTTTTTCTTTTATTTTCCTTTTCTTCGGTTTTGGTTCATCAACCTCTGAGCCCGAAGCATCAGAATGATCGTCATTTTCTGATTCTTCTGCTTGGTTATCAATAAAATCCATAATCCAAAAACCTCTAAAATGAAATATTAACTTCAAATTCAAAACGCTGCGAAAAAAAAAGATTCGTTTGGAGAAACTGACATTATGCCAAAAAAAGTATTGATATAGGACTGAAGAGATCCAAAAAACAAACTAGAGAAAAAAAGAGAAGAACAAAAAATAACACAATTGCCAAATAAATGTCACAATAACGAAAATGGCGTTTAACTTTGAATTTTCATTGAATAATGTTGCAAGCGCGCTCTGTTGAACTTTTGATTAAAGACCGCTGAAAACTAAGAAACGCAGGGATACATCGTCGCAAAAATTTGCGCGCGTATTCAAACTTTTTATGCAACGGCATTGGGAGTTGTTTGATATCGAACAATTTTTATTTCATTATTATTTGACTAATATATTTGTTTAAAAAAACGAAAATATTCGATTTATCCAATGATGTATAAGATTTGTATGGGATAAAGAAACACATACTTATTTGGTGGTTCCGCAAAATAATGAATGTCTTATCATTCATTATTTTGGGGCGCCATCTGTTTTGTGATTCAATTCAATTCTTAAAATCATTTTTGTGCTATAAATTCATTTCGATAATAAAAATGTATTTATTTTGATGAAATAACATAAATATAAATACATAATTCTTTTCTAAACTTCTCAATGGAAGCATCGCAATTGCTCTACAGCTCTATTTTCAATCGAGTTCGATTCATGTTCTACTCCGGGGAACCACCATTTCATTAATATTTGCATATTGTCGCATTATTAAATAATTAATTGATTGACAATATTTATTGGTATTTATGCTACTATTTAAATAATTTACAATTTACAGGAATATAAATACGAATCAAAATAAAATCGAACGTTTCTAGAGCGAAAAAATGCTTGAATGTTGAGTGTGTCCATCGAAAACGAAAGTGTTGTCCAATGGAACGAATTGGTTAGTAGCCAATTTAATTACTTCTTGAGCAGTCACTCCTATAAACAACCTTTTTTCCAAAATTTGAACATTAAGCAAACCTCCAATTAGTGAAGAGATAACATGAAGTTCGGCAGCCCCAAATCGACAGATTTCTCCGATCGCATCTTGTGGGATCAATGCGGAAATCTTTTCAGCATCTTCAATCTGAAAATAATTTTCTATAGCACAATAATTAGTATTTGTATAAACCTTTGCAGTTTTCAAAATCGATTCAACTCTTTGTTTCAAGTCAAATGCGTCGATTGTACACGGAACACCGTTCGTGCCAGGATATCTTCCTTTTTCAGTGTTAAATCGATCTAATGCACGAAACAGAAGAAGCCAAATCGTGCAGTCGACTTTGCCTGATTCTTCTCCTTCTGGTTTTGGTGATGATTTGATGATTTCGACTAAATTCTAAAAAAAAAAAACATTTTTCGCTAATGAAAATAAGGCAGAATGAGCAACCTTTATTTCTTGCTGATAATCTAGAGGATTCCCTCTTTGAAGTGAAATTCGATCGGCATTTTTACAAAATCTGTAGCACATTTCTTCGCTTATAAGGTCTCCGACTCCTGAAATTATTCGTCGAAATGAAATTCAAAACAATCCCGCTATACCTCTTTCTCTTTCGACTTCTCTTAAAAACTCTAAAACTGTTTTCGCATCAGAAATTGCTTTTTCGTGAAAAATTGTAGCTAGACGTGTGTATCGTGCCGAATCTGATGTCATGTCGGGAAGTTCTCCTCGAACCGGCAATAATCCATTATTGAATTCCGTGAATCTTCGAAGAGCTTCGCAAATCAACCAGAATGGTTCTTTCGATGTCCGACAAGCGGGATCATCAAGAATTCTGCGAACTGAGTGAGGAATCTGAATTCTGTTTTGTTTAACTCTCATTTTCAATCAAATGTAAAAAAACCGTAGTTTTCTGGAAGCATCTCGTGACAGCATTTCTCGCTTCATCGATATTTTCGGAATCTTTGCTTCCTGATTCGTCACTTGATCTTCTGAATGTCAGAAGAGTTTGTTGAATTTCTTTCTTCTCTTGGTACGACGACGGAAATGCGCAGGGATTTCCGCGCTTCTAAAATCGTCACCAATTATCGTCAATATTTCATATTCAAAATAAACCTTTCTGAATATTTCTAATGCTTTGAATAAAAGCAAAATGTATGGAGTATGTCGCAATGTTTCAACATTCATATTATCGAGATTCGTTTCATCAACAAATCTCGCCAATTCTTCAAACGGCGCATCCAATCGTAAATCTGGCTTCGGATTTTCTTCTCTCGTGTTCACAATTGTGTGTTCTTGAACACAAACTTTGATTGTTCCAAGTAATCCGCATGTTTTCACACATAAAAAGGGAACTCCGAGAGGGTGAAGAATCTGCGCATAAGCCATATCGACAGCCTCCGTTTGATTCGAACTGACGACGACTGAAAAGCTTGAGAGTTTCTTAACATCTTTGCCGCAAATATCAGCTGGTGAGCTGGTGCAGCATTCGCCAGCAACCGACGGATTCAATTCCTGAATTCTGAATAACTTATTTAATCCTATTTTTTGTATTACCTTAAGTTTTTCGAGAGTAGTTTCAGCTCTTGATTTTCCAACATCGCTAATATGAAGAAAGAAATTTTGTCCGATATCGGACTCGTCAACATTCGCATCATCAACAATACAGAATGACTTAATTCCAGCCAAAACCAGCGATTTCAGAATTTCAGTTGCCAATGAGTCGCTTCCCAATACACATACTGTTGTTAGACTAATCGATGCCTGACCTTCATCACCCCAAAGTCGAACTTGACGATCATAGCGGCTACCGGCTTCAACAACCAATGTCATTTCCTAAACTCTTGTTAGCTTTCATCATATCATCACATATTGAAAATATCAGATCGTAACAACGAAAATATAAATCTCGATGTACCACGAATATTTTTTACATGTATAATTAATTTTATCTAAATTGGCAAGATATTAATCTAATAATAATAATAATCTATAGCACACGAATCATTGTTTAAAACGCCTCAATCAGTTCATTTCTTATCGTGGAGAGTTTTTCTCTCCCATTTGAGATTCGTGAAACTGTCGGGTCTCAAATATGTCAATTCCTCTTTCTTGTTTTTCATGCACGCATATCGACCCATCACAAACAGAAGATCGCTCATTCTGAAATAATTTATAATAATAATAATAACAAATAATTAATAGATACCTGTTGAGGAATTTCAGACATTGCGGATCGGCGTCCTCATCCCGAATCAACGGAACGACGCTTCTTTCAGCCCGTCGACATACTGCACGAGCATATTGTAGCTGTGCCGACGTTTGGCCTCCGCCCTAATTTTTTTTCGTTTTTCGCTTTATTATTACCATAATATTACCGAAAGAATAAATTGTCGAATTGGGGGCAATTGATCACCATATTTATCGATTTCAGCATTGATCCAATCAACCATCGCAACGTCAAATGCAGTTTTTTCTTCAAAACATTAATTAGAAAAGAAATAGACGAATCGAATATTCGACGAACTCAATCTTCTCTCGGTCGAGTTTTTCGGCGGAGTTGCCAAATGTGCTCCGACGTCTTGCAAACAACATTGAAGACGAGTCAAAGTTTCGACAACATCAGGAAGGATTCCATCTTCAATCGCCGATGTTCCACAAACACTAAAAAGGGAATCAAAAAAATTTCAATTCAAATCAAAATTTACCCAAGCCAAGAAGAGAGCTCATCAGTTGCACCTAACGCCATAAAAGCGTCGTCATCTTTCCATCTCCTCTCCAGATTATACAGCGAACTTTGTCCAGAATCGCCAGTTCCACGACCTAAATTTGTCATTTCACATTTCAATTTCCAAATTATTTTCCAATTAACACAAACCTTGTTTAAATCCGATTTTGTTCTCCGAACTCATTGAAATGAATCGCTTCGTACAGATATGTCGAATACTCGCAAGGCGTATCACTGCAGGAAGACAACTTCGAGTACAAAGCATATTATCAGTTATCGAGACTTTGTGCGTCTGCAACTCGTCGTCCGCAAACACGCCAACATGATCTCAAATAAGACAAAACTGCAGGGAAACAGTGGGTGAGTGTGGCAACAAAAATACATCAAATAATTTATTTAAAGCAGTGATCATATATGTACTTAAAATAAATTAGAAGTCAACTGTTAAAGGTTGAACAAAGAAGAGAAAATGAAAAAGAAAGAAGTAGAAGCGAAAGCATGGGTTTCATGAGGTCTGGGTGTCGAATTTAGTAGTTAAAGTCATTTGAAATCCTAGTTCATCAGGAATAAAATGGAGAAATAAAAATGGAAAATATTATCGATACAAAAAAAAAACAGAAAAAAATTAAAGAATAAAACATGAATGAAACAAAAAAGACAGGAGAGTGAATTTAGAGATTTTGAAATCCCGAAAAACCACAAAATCTTACAGAATACGAGTTCAACTTTAGAAAAGAAAAAGAGCAGACAGATATCAGAAATGCCTAAAACACAATGACAGACAATAATACCCTTATTATATTGATGAAAAGGTAAAAATGTTTGAGGATCGTGTTGTTATTTTTCTTTTGTATTCGCAATTTCAATTATATCACAGGGAATACATTACGAACGGCACCTAATCATATAAAACAGATAAATGAAAATGGTGGGCACCAGGCCCCTACTACTGATTGCAACTTCTGGAGGCGGGCTGAGCCCCTTTATTGGTTCAAGCATACAAGAGAATCGCTATCAGTTCAACGTTCCGCGGCAATTCTTCGCGCCGCATAGACAATCAATTTTGTCTTCTTCTATTGGAAATTTGTAATCGTATGTGATTTCATCACCCTTTTCGATTATTCCTTTACTGTATATCACGATTCTCTTTTCTCCTTCGATTGTTAACACCTATAATATATCGAATTATTTTTCATTTTTGTTCTCGAAATAAAAAATCCTACTCTTGCATAGCAATTCGGCTGACAAGAGTGATTAATGAATCGCGCAAAGTTTCCCCGTTTCGTTGCATCAATCACCGTGTGCTCATCGATTCTGAACAGATACGAACTTCCAATTCCGCGCCGTTCGTATGCCTTCTCACGCTCTTCGGCAACAATTGAACGAACCTTAACATTAAAAAATTGTATTTTAAAATTCTCTTGAATCGATTAAAACCTTTTGCCCGACATATTCAACAATCATTTCATCGGAAGCAATTGATTCAAGCGCATAAAGACCCCATCCATGAATCCTCGACCGAGCAAATTTAATCATTTTCTTTCGGAACTAAAACGTAAATAGTGAATTACGTCGAAACAATGATAAGCATACCTTAAGCTGATTGACCTTGAAGAAATCTGGTGTAATATCGCCCATCGACGTCAGAAGACGTCTTTGAAGCGATCTTGTTTCTTTATTTGCCACACTCTGATGCCGAATTACAGCTTCATCCTATAAATCATCCACTTAAAATTCATGATTCGATATAAATCGACAAACCCGCTCGCTAATCATCGTTCGATCCATTTCGTAATCCGGTCGTCGAACTAATGATCTCTTCTGCTTCATCGAGAGCTTCACGTACGGTCGCGCACGTGCACAGCCTTCTTCAATCGGAATGACGCCGTCAAGATCTGGATCGAGATAGAACTGATCCGGTAATCCCTTTTTCGATAAAACGGGATTTCTCTGAATATTACAGATTAAAAAATTACTGGGTAAGATCAAAATTACTCGAAGTCGCGGTGATGGTGGCCGAGGGATCTCAACGAATGTAATATCATGAGACCACGGCATCTCTTCTGGAGGCTGAGCCTTCATCTTTTCGAATACTTGCCGCAAAAATCTTTGATCCTCAGCATCAGGTAGCTAAAAAATAATAACATATCGTATCACAGAAGAGGCTGATCTCACTTTTGTGCTGAAGAGAATTCTCCGCTTTTCTTCGGCGCTTCTCGGAGGGAATTTGATGACCTTCTTCGGAGTCTGAAGAGCAATAAGCTCGGCAAAAGCTCTGAAATTCAATGGCTTACGTCTCAAACTTTTACTAAAGCATACCTTGATCCGATTTCCTTTTTATGCTTTTTCGATTCACACTTTGGTTTTTTAGATTTATACGGAATCATTCCATTGTCAACCACTTCTTTTGGAAGCTCGAGAGCCCCAGAACGTTCGGAAAGTGGAGGTAGCCATGGTGGTAGAATGACACTCGTAATGTTCTAAAATTCATATTATTTCATTTACTTTTTTAAAGCCGAGCCGTCTTGAAACATACAGTATCCAATGGTAATGGATCGAAAACCTGAAGCATTGTAGGACGATCGAAAGCATAATAGCAATGCTCGGTAAGAAATGGATGGTACTGTTCCGCTGTTATCGTTCCACTAGCTAAAAAAGTACATAATCTCAAATTGTGAAGATTAGAAATCAACGATTACCATTTACGTAAGGGTTGGCAAATGATTTGCGCCATTCAACTTCTCTGCAGCCGCTAGGTAAGTAGGTGCTTTGCGAAGTAGGCTCAGCTGCTAGTGGATGATGGGAAGGAGAAGAATTCTGGAGAATTCAATTTTTTAGATTTTGAAACAGAAATTAAGCAAACCTCAGAAGAACTTTCGACAATATGCTTCATCTTTTTCAAACACGGTTCATGCATGAAGCTTTTTTCAGACGAAGAAGATGATATCAATCTCCGTTTTTTGCCCAAAATTGTGTCTTCGTCTTCCTCATCTTCTACCGCTCTCGCGTCATCTTCAGATTCTTGTGACGCTACAGATTCAGCAGACGAAGAAGTAGAATTTGAAGAAGAAGAAGACGACGACGACGATGACGAGGTGATCGAAGTGCTCCGAGAATTAGCAGAAACACTAAAATAGTGGTAATTTGAAATTCAGTAATCGGAAAGCAACGAACCTTGCTGAAGAAATTTTCGGTTTTTGCACCTTCTCTTCACTTTCATCTGCAGTATCTTCCGTCGAGCTACTCGCGACACTAGAAGACGTTGATTCAGAAGTGTCCGTTCGCGTTGACGACACCGATTCACTACGAACACGTTGTAGTTTTTCCGATTGTTGTTGCTGTTTATGCTTCGGAATCGGTTTCTGTCGCTAAAATCAAACAAATCGACAAAATTAGGAATATTGAATGGAGAAATCGACTTACCCTCATGACGGTATAATTCGTGCGACTTGCATTGAACGAGTTGAACACATCCTGCAAATAAATGAGTTAGCGAAGAAGGCCGGCGGTGAATGAGCACCTGATTGATGTTCTTAACCGGATTCCTTGGCACTTTGAAACTATTTTCTAATTTCGGCTTTAAATGCACCATTGGATTTTGCAAAACATGATATTTTCCGTTCAATTTCGTGTAATTATTAGGCGAAACAAAAAATGTTTTTCGAATCGTCGGCGTGCACATTTTCGGCACCGCACTTTGATTTTTCACAGAAGGAAAGCCAACGGGGATGCGCGGATTCGGATTCATGTGCACTTGCGGCATAAATTGACATGGTTTCGGTATGTGCCGAATTATGACAATTTTTTTCGGCGGTCCACCGTTTAGTTTGTCGTCGAGCCATTTCGGATTCGCCATTTCACTTGGGGCCATGTGGTTCAATTAGGTTTACCAAGTGAGCATTTCACATAACAAATTGCACGAGAAATTCTAGAAAACATTACAATAGTGATGAGAAACGGACGAGAAACGAATCGATAAAATATGGCGAAACTTGTCGGGCCAAATTACGAAAATGAATGTAGAATTTACTCACTCTCTCTCTCTCCGAATGTCGAATCTCTCGAAAAAGTGAGCACCATAAAGCAAAAAGCTGTTTTCATTTTTCCTTTGCTGGCTAACAAAAGTTTAAAATAATCAAGAATTATCACTTTTTTTATTTTACGGGCCCAATAAAATATCACTTGCGCAATTTCAATTTCACAAAACTGCGCTTCCACGACAATATTTTTGTACAAATTGATGCAATAGACCAAAAACCGAGGTGATCTACAATTTCCTTTCGGTATAATTTTCGCAGTATTTGTATATTTAACGGAAGAAAACTGATTCGCAGTTTGTCAATTGTTTCAAGCTTCATTTCGCTTCATTAGACTACGCCTTTGTGATAAAATGAAATTTGAAAAAAATCACGATCAAAAATCCAATTTAATTTCTCTATAAAATTGGTAGGAAAGCGACAACATATTGTTTCTCACTAGAGTATATTGATGAAAAACTGTGTTTTTTTTTAATCTTAAAATAATGAAACTCATTTGAATATGGGAAAACGTCAAAAATTTAGAGTCAATGAATGTGACCAAGCAAGGTAATTTTTTTTTTCGAAATTATCGAATTAATTTGATAAATGACTATTTTAATTTAAAAAAAACAATCATTTGCTCCAAAATAAGCTCAATATTGTAATATTCTATGACAGTGAATGATTTTGGCTCAATTCCTCTTCAAATAACACAAAAAAAAGAAAAACTAATGGAGAAAAAATATATGTACCGAGGTGGTAAAAAGTGAGAACAATGCGGAAAACTTTGCATAATAGTACCGGCAACACAAACAAGAGGACGCAGAATCGAAGAGCATCGCGAGAAAACGAGATAGAACGCACGCGATGAGACTTTCGACGACGAATTGGGCGCGTTCAATTCGCCGTCACAGCTGGCATAACGCGCGAATCTCTTGTCAGCGTGTTTTGCCGCAATAGAGTAGCAATTTTTACAAGTCAAAATATGTGGGTATCAAAGTGCCATGGACTCCGGAATTGATGTTAATGTAACTTACCATCATATCGGTTATATTCAACGTCTTTGGTCGTTCTGCTTCTCGTCTCGCCTTCTCTTCGCGTTCAATCTAATAAGAACAAATCGATTATGCTTTAAAACACGATTAAAGACAATTTTAATATTTTAAAACAACATCAAAAAACGTTCGCTTACTCTTCTCCGTTCCTCGTCGGCTGCGGCTTTTTTCATTAAATCCACATCAACCAAAGCTAACGACTGCCGAAGAACTTGCTTTTTTAAATCTTCGCCAATTTTCATTGCAACTTCATCAATAATCCGTTTCTGACATTTATCAACAATTCTTTTGTGCAACAATTGCTGAAAACAATTTGAAGTTTCGTTTGACTCGAATCACCAAAATCCAACTACCATTCTGACTTCGAATTCGATTCGTTCTCGTTCTTCTCGCTTCAACCGCTCTTCTTCAGTTTCCCTCGGAGTTCCATGAGATGTGTCAGCATCACTTGACACTTCTACATCCATATCTTCGGACGAATGTCGATCATCTAGTGATATATGTCTGGTTTGGTACTGCTGTGCCGCAAATGGGGAAGAAGTGCTGCTGAAATGGGAAAATAAATTATAAGAACAGTATTAAAGCATTCAAACCTAACAGAATCGTCCTCTTTTTTCTTCGAATCCACACCGAATAGTCCATTCAAACGTTGTTTCAAGGATTCGGCAGGAATGTCTGGAGAAGACTCCTTGCGATGTATTGGCGGTGTCGATAGTTTCGGAGGAATCACCAATTTCGGTTTGTCTATTACTTGAGCAGGTACCGCAGGAACTCCGAAGGGAGGCCCAGGACGATTCCCGTACATCGGATAGATCGGAACTCCTAGTGCTGGAGGGGGTTTCGACATGTCAGGAATACCAACAGCCGGCGCATAGTACCCGAAAGGAGTTAATTGCATTCCAGATGGTGTCGGAACAATTGTTTTCGGTGTTGATGGTCCAATCGCATTCGTTTCCTTCGGCGTCTCAATTCGTGGTCGTGGAACGCATTCTATTGTTGACGGAGGTGTCGGCGGAGTCTTCGGTTGTCCACGCTTCGAATCTCTTTCGACATGACTTCGTCCGTGTCGCTGCATAAGAGACCAATGGCAATGAAAGAGAATGAAATGAATTTACCTTATCCCTATCATCTTTCTTCCTCAAATCTCGCCAGCTACTTCTTCCGCGTCTATGACGATCCGAATAACTTTCATCGGATTCATCAGTTTCAGAATCCCATCCAAAACCATTCGGTTTCTCTTTCTTCTCTCCTCTCTATAGAAAAAGAAAACTTAACCAGATCCAAGTAAAATTAAGTTCAACCTTTCTTCGCGGAGAATCTTTTTTCCGCCGACTTTCGTCTAGACTGGGATATGATTGAGCAGATGACGAGTCCGACGCAGAACGTGATCGAGAACGACTGCTTCCATCGTCGGACAACATGCCTTCTCCTTTACTTTGGGTTCTATGAACACCGTTCCTTCAATCAAAGCATATATTTTAGAGAAACAAAGAAAATAACAGTAAAAAATTAGTAATCTCTCGAAATAGAATCAATTTTACTGAAATCCATCAAAATGATTAGAATTATACCTGAATTTGGGTTTTGATTCCCCTTTAAATCCCTTCTTTGACTCATCATCGGAGCCTGTCCGATTCGTTGGTTTTGATTTCCAACCATTGTGCCGCTTCCGCCGAACGTCACGTCCACTGTCATCCGATTCGCACGAACTCCGATCGCCTTGTTTTCGTCTAAAATTTCAATTTTGATATTTTCTAGACGAAAAATCAATGACTACCCAGAATAGTAAGACGTCGACGGATTATGAACCGGATCGAATTCGGAATAACGAGCAGAATGATCAGTATAAAATTGAGAACCTAAAAATAAATAAAGACAATTTTGAGCAGGGCAAAAATGAGTGAAAGAAAAAGGAAACATAAAAGAGAAAAAACAATAAGATGAATATCCATTCAATCATTCGAAACGACACAAACACAACAAAGAACTGAATACAACCAGTGAAGTGATCAATCCCTATCTTAGTTTTGACGTTACACACCGAACGTGCTCGCAAAAATAATATTCAAAATCACCTTCGTTAATTTTTCGCGCGTGATCGTTGTTTGTTTCGATAACTACTGTTTTGTCTTGCTTCCGAAGCTTTTGCTCGAATACCGTTTCAGTGGCAAATCGCCTCGGAAGGGCCGGAATCTTGAAGATCACCTTCTGAGGACACTTGTGAAAACCGTTGTTGTTGGTGTCTTTTTCACTGTTTTCCGTACTCGTTTCTTCCGGAACTTCGGGCAAAAGAATGCCAGTATATTCAAATTCAAGGCTCTCCGATGTCATTTTTTGTTTCTTTTCTTCATCATTTCCCCGCTTTTCCAATTTCATCCCATATTCGCAATTCTCTTTATTGTCCGATGTTGATGAATCGGGTTCGACGACATGCTGACGCAACAAATGGCGTTGTCGCGGTGGTGGCGGCGGCGGGATTTCGATCGGTTTGCGACCGGCTGAAACAAGCACACGTGGGATAAAGCGGTGGCATGCAATAATCAGGGACAATTGGTGGGTGCACGTAAAACAGAAAAAAAAACATGACACACAGTTGCACAAAATACAAAAGTAGACCTTGTTTGAGATATTCCTCTCTCGGTATAGATGGAGGAGGCGGCACATCCGATCGACTTGTTGTCGCAGTCATCATGTCAGCGTATGAACTGTTCGATGGAATTGGGGGTGTTTTTGGAATTTGTGGGGTAAATGGTCCTATATAAAATAATTTCAACTTTAAGAACGAGTCAAAAGGCGAACCTTTAGTAACCAATTTGCCGTTTTCCGGACTCCCAACATCTATGATGTCTTCGCCATCCGAAAACTCTTTATTCTCATTAGGATAAATGCTTGTTTCTGAAAAATGTAATTTTCTAAAATTTTTCTTATTATGAACGGCTTCAAAAACAGCAAAATTTGAAAAATCATTTCTTAATTCAATGTTTTGAAATGTACCAATTTTTCGAGCGATTTTCGAACGGAAGCCCATGAGAACATCATCATCAATGCTTTTGAAATAATCCGGCATTGGTAGAGGCTCGTTAGCTTCTTTCTCATAAGCGTCATTGAGAAATGTAACTGAAATATTGTATAAAAACCCAACAAATATGGATAAACTTACAGAAGGGGTCCAGTTTACAATCGGCCTTTTGAGCCAACATCTTCATTGTAGAATATTTGGAAACGAACGATTGAGCATGTTCAGTTTTTTCAAATATCACATAAGCCATTTTGAGATGTTTCTGGGTTTGAGGATGTCGACAAACACGCACTTCACGTACTTTGCCAATTTCTCTGAATACCAAAAACAGGTTTAAAACGTTAAAAATAAAATAAAACCTTGCAAAATCGGTCAAAAGTTGCTCTGAGCAATTATCATCCATATTGAATATGGATACCTAAATATGTCCATTTTGCTTATTTTTATTAACAATTGAAATAAAAACCTCTCTTTTGGGCGGTATTCCACAATAATTAGCATCAATACGAAAGTTCGTTTTTAGAAGATAAACGGGATGTTGACTTTTTGGTGCGAAACAAAATCTTCCATAAATTCTCGACGTATTCAATGTTAGACGAGGATCACGAATTTGCCGATTTTCGTTATCGGTTTCTAGACCCCACTTCTTAACCGCCTAGAACACATTTTTATGGCGTTTTTTGTTTCAACGTAAGTTTACGTTAAATTCTTCTTTTGAATCTATTTTTTGTGGAATACCATCGATTCGTAAGTATTCTTTGCCATTGTACTTCACTTTGTGCCAAGCATGCTTACATTTATGATTTTCGATCCCACGATGAGACGTTTCCTGAAAAATAAATTGAACTTAAATTATTTTGATAAAATAAATTTTATATACCTTTCCGTGAGATTTCCGAGGCGGCGGAGGTGGGGGCGGTTTATCAGACATTTTAATTGAATAATCTAGACATTCGCCAAGTTTGATTAAATTCCAACTGACTAGATTCAAAAAATCTCCTATAAAATACAATGTAAGAAAAAATATTAAATATGAAAAGACGATTTCTATTTAATTACCATCGTTAAAAACTTTTTAAAATAGAAAAACGAATTTTACATTTTTCGAGAATTTTTGACCCATTAAATTCAAACTCCAATTTAAACCCATAAGTGAGAGGAGGCTTATTTTGTCTCAAAGCAAAATTAAACAACCATTGGTAATTAAGCTATATTGATTTTCATGCATAGCAACAAAAATTTGTTTCATTTAGGTGCATAAAAACATCGACAGCGAAGAAAAAAAATGAAATGCGCCGGCACAAAAACGTTGAGCGCACACGCTTCAAATTTTTGGGGTGGCCTAACTTTTGGCGCGTAAATGTCGTCCCCGTTCCCGAGGCCATAAAAAGGTTGTCCACTTAAATCCGAATATTTATAAGGCTATTTTGTCTTCAAAGCGTATTTTTAGAATATGCATATTAAGAAAATTTTTGAAAAATAATTGTGTTAATAAATGTGAAAAAAATTGTAGAGACATTATGGGTTTACCAAGTATTAAAAAAAATAAAGAGAAACCCAATTATTAAAAGATCAATTCTGTTCGTTTTAATGCATATATATATATAAACAGGCGTTTCTAGCTGTTTTAGAATATTTGTACCTCTTTCCTCAATTATTAGAAAAAGTTAATTAAACATTGAAAACAAAAAATTAAGCAACAATTAAAAACAACTTATAAAATTTTCTTCATTATGCTTAACGGATAAGATTGGCGGCAGCGTTCTAATCGGGATCCTCATTTCATACAAATTTAGCGCGTTCTGCTTTGGTCCGGTAGAGTTTTTGGTTTGAAATCAATAAGTAAAAATGCCTTTCTGAAGTTGAGCAAACTTTTTTTTTTTGACTTTTTTTCCATTTTCGCCATTCTTGCGACGGAGTGGGTCGGATTGGAAATTTTTTTGAGCATCAGAACATAACAAAGGTGTGAATACCATAAACATTTCTCCACATATCAATACCCCAGGTAGAGTTTTGATAACCAGTCCACCACGGCAACAATTTTGTACCTTTCGTAACTTTTTTTAGTGTGTTGACGGAGGTTTCAGATCACCCAGACCTTCATTGTCGGAGCTGAGCCGTGGGTACTAGATGGAGATCACACACTAATTAAGAATTGATCGAAAAGCGAAATCCGAAAGCGGCGCCGAATGCAATAAACGGACATCGTGGTAAAAATTGTAATGATATGTATAAAAAAGGTGTTTAGTGAAAACCTAATCAAAAGTTTCAAGCAGAGATCCTTATTAAGACTAAAATCGTACTAACTGATCAAGATCGTCATGAAGATTTCTCAGAAACTCAACGAGAAATCGACGAAGAGTTCAATTTCTTGAAGAAATAAAAAAGTAAATTATTTATGTTAGAGAATTCGACGAGACTAAAAATGACAATTAATGAAATATCTACGAGAACAAGTTTCTGGAAAAGTTACTTTTCGGAAGCCTTTTATTATTATCACGGTTCGAGCCATAAACACATTGAACTGACAAATGTTTTCCGCGTTTTCCTGAAAAAAAGCTTAACCCATCTGCGGGAGTGCTTTTTCCGGTCTTAAGTGAATTTTCACTCCAATAAAGTTTGATTTAGATATAATATTCATAGAAAAACTTATGAATTGCTATTTCAATTACAATTATTTTGTGTAATATTTTTGTTATTTTTTTAATTGTTTTCTTTTTTGTTATTGTCGAAGTCAAACGACTTGACGAAAATTAAAAAAAAATTATTGGCTATGTGCCAATGCGTTTCGAGGCAGTGAGATTGCGTACATTGCATTATAGTGTACGCGCATTTAATATTCATTCAACGATAAATTTAAATTTGCACTGATTTCGCGAATTTGAAGGCTCCGCCTCCCTTCAGTCGTTTGACGCCGACAATACATTTTTATTAACTCAAATCCAATCGAATACGACAAAATTCGGCCCCGGAATCAACTCGATTCGATTGTTTTTTTTGGTATTTTCGAATAAGAATTAATAATTTGTCGGAGTCCGTTTCGTTAAAATTTTTTCTTTTCGTTACTAGAGTTAATAAAGTCAGTTCAGTTCAGTTACCTAACGAATACCGCAATAACCGTTTTATCAATGAAAGATATCATATATGTCGTTCCTCCTTGTACTATGAACCCGATCGCGACGTTCGGATCTTTTTGGACCCCAACAACACTTTTGACACATTCAGTAACATTTTCAAAAATATCCCACATCCATTTCAAATTTTCAAAAAATGTAGGAGGCTCCCAAATGATGGGGCTCCCATTGCCAAGCCTGCGAAAAACATTCATGGCATCTGCTAGAAATCAGAACTGTTTTAGAAGAAATATCCGATTTTTCTGATGGCAGAAGTTTAAGTCGGATTTCTTCAGAATGAGAAATTTCATATGATTTAATACCATGAATTTACAAAGCCTCAATGAATATGTCAATTAAATTCTAGGATATATCATTCTTTTCAGGTTTTGGTTGAATTCTTGCTAACAAGACGCTGCTAAAAGCCGACTTGACACCGATTTGATTGAATGAAATTGTTCTCGAATTACACACTGCTCAACCATGCTCATCGCACTTAGCGGCGTTCATTTTTTGTCCATTAAAGGCAATGCTCGACCTCGTCCATTATATCGTATAAAATAATTGTTTGAAGCAGTTTCCCATGGGAAATGTCCATAGTAATACGCGATGACATCGTCTTTTCATTCCATTAATAATTTATTCGAGTTTTTTTTCTTCAACAATATTGATTCACACTTTGACACCTTTTCTCCTGCTGTTTTCTCTGGTTTCTTTAAATGCCCTCCTCAATTCCTTTAATGGTCGTTAGTGGTGTGTTACCGTAGAAAATATTCATAAATCCGCTTTCACTGCTCAAATCTTCTCTTCAATTTAGCTTTGACGTTTTTCATTGCAAAAAGCCCCAAGGGAATTGCCCGATGCTTGTTAAAATAAAAATTAAATTTTCTTATTCTTCTTTTAATTATTCAGGTTATCTGTAGTACGGTACTCTAATTTTCACTATTAAAATGGAAATTTGAATTTCCGCCCAAGAAAAATATGTATGTTCAAGGTGTTCATTTTTGGTTTTCTATTCTATAAGCTAAAATTGATAATACTGGGTTGTTTGTTTTCTCGTCCAATAAGAGTTATCTCGACTGAAACAAATTTTCATGGATCTTTATGAGATAGTTTTCTACGCTACACAATGAAGTCTAATGGACGAGAATGAGTAGGTGTTATTTTACGGGGGACCAATTAAAATGCAACTTTTGTTTTTCCAGCATTACAGAGCTCTTAAAAAATTGTTGATCGTCAATTTCCCTTGATCAACGTGGCCTCTAGACTCTATATGTGGTTCATTTTTCGATTGCACATTTCATCATTAAACAATTTTTATTGAAAATGCCAATCTTAATGGAATCCGTAAAATAGTCATTTGGCGAATGCAATTAATCGGTTTGGCGGGCCATAAAATGTCGCCAGCATCTCCGGAATGGCGGCGCTTCGAATCGAGTCGCGTCGAGAAGGCGCATGTTTCAAAACGCGGCTCATTCATCGGTCGCCATCGGCACCACTACGAATATTGCCGATATGTATGTATATAGATGTATTGAGACGAGACGACGTGTTGAAAGCGCGCACAGCTTTACGTGGAGGAGGCTCTCACCGGCGCGCCTCAGAACGCACAACATACATGACGGAGAGCGAGAGTGACATGCGAAGGCACTCGCACACACTCCAAATTAGGCGTCGAATGTCGTTTTGTCTTCATGTTTTTTGCATACTTTAGCATCGACTTGTTTTGATTTTCTCATAATAACATTCGTTTCTCTTTTTGTTTCGCCTTCATTAAGTATACTGTATCCATATTGTTCCAAATCACTTATGATCTACCGAGAGGAAACTGCGACCTCCTGAATTAGAAATAATCTAAAATCATATGCTTTAAATTAATTTCATGATTCGATTATTCAGATTCTTTTGATCATTAGGTGTTCACAGAAATACTTCTTCGAATCGAAGGGATTCAATATTTGAACGAACCAATTTAGATTCAACCTTTTTCTTTTAAAATATTCAATAATTATTCGTTGTTATGACAAATTCTTTTTGTCACATCACATTTTTAAAGTCCAATGGAACATTTTAATATATGATGAGGTTCTGAATTTATTTATTACATCTACATCATACCTGGTTTTAGAATTTAGAATTTGCCTTTTTTTTTGTTTTTTGCTTCGGATGTTTCATTGACGTGAATCGGTTTTCGTTTCGCTAAGAAAAACCTCTGTCAAGTGCATTTTGCGTGCGATTTCAAACAATTTTGAAAATCAAAACTGATTTTGAGTCACCTGCCTATTTTTTCCCATTTTTTGTTAACTCCACTTTTTTTGTAAACCGATTGTAATTCAATGTTTATATTCGGAAATTTATAAGATGATATCAAGATGAGTGTGAGCAGCGAGACCGTCGAGAAGGAGTACGTACACGCGATCTACTCGAGATTGGCGACGTACCAACAGAAAGAGCTGAAACAATCATCGCCTCGAATCTGGCCGAGAGTGCGCCAATTCGTCGATCAGCAACCTGTCGGAAGTCTGATTCTTGACATCGGATGCGGAGAAGCCAAGTACACGTCGACGAGATGCCACGTCATCGGATTCGATAGCTGTCCAGAAGTGCTTTCGGCGAGCAAAAAGGACTCGATTGATTTGGCACTCGCTGATGCTCTCAATATACCAATTCGGTATACATATATTTTAATTATAATTTATAAATAAAAACAAATAATGAAATGATTGGTATTTAGAAGCGATTCGGTTGATGCGATCCTTAATGTTTCGGTTATTCATCATTTCTCAACGGCAGCGAGAAGAAAACAAGCACTTGAAGGTACAAATTCCGTCGAATCGAATCCGAATTCGATTGAAATTCGAAAATTAAAGAATGCTGTCGTTGTTTGCGCGTCGGCGGCCAGATGTTGCTCTATGCTTGGGCATTCGAACAACCGAATGCCAAGTTCTCCGCACAGGACAATTTGGTTCCATGGAATCTGCATGAGACCACAATCGCCGGTTTGAATTCATTCATTGATTCTTTATTATTCATATTTTATTAGGGCGTCTTCCAAAAGTGAAATTTCACATGAACACAACGAAAGAGCAACGAATAATTGCGGCGTCGATTCCTGTTCAGATCACGAGTCCGTCGACTGTTTCGCCGTCGTTTCGCTGGTTTTCCGGTGTTCTTAATAGGGTTCGAGAGACATCCGATTATTGGAATCATCCGGTGAATTCAGATGAATCAGCTCGCGGTGCAGCTGCCATATTTTTCGAAGAAATCCAATTCCGAATCATCGTCGACTTCTGTTCTGCCTTCAGCCGCCCCACAATTTCTTCCGAAAAAGAATTCAATCATTTCCGGAATCAAACGATGGAGTCCAATGCTAGGTATAAATCAATTCAATAGTTTCATTTGTTTTTTTTTTTTTTGAATTTTTCAGGAAAACGCTTGGCGTCTCTTATAGTGTCCGTAGAAGAACAATATGGTGATGAACTGTCTGAAGCAATTATGAACGAAGGAATCGCAGAAGCGATGGCTACTTTGAGAGAAGTGATTGGCCTTATTAATAAATAATCCTAATATTCGCATTTTTAGGTCACATTCTATCGCTATTATCACGTGTTCAGAGAGCATGAGCTGGAAAACCTTGTTGATTCTGTAGAAGGATTAAAAGTGATCGCGACAAGCTTCGAACATGGCAATTGGTGTGTAGTTGCGGAGAAAATTCCACCGGAAACCATTTTCCGTGCCTAATTCGTTAGGTGACGATACTCCGACATGTCTCACTCTCATTTTAGAAATTGAAAGCTGTAATATGCCAATAATTCTGTTCATTTTTGTCCGAATAACATTTATTTGCATACAATATATTATATGAAAATTATTAAAAGTTGTGTCTATCATTGGACAAGAGTAGAAACTGTACAGTAGCCGCTATGCGGTTACGATGCTAATATAACATGGATACAGAGAGAAATAACAATCGAAAAGAGATGATTGATTCGGAAAAATAGAAAAAATGCGAACAATCAAAAAATTAATGAAAAAAAAACATTGCACAATAATTTTTAGCATGAAAATGACTCAAAGATAAACACACGAATTTGAAATTTTTGCAAATCTTCGAAAATTTCCAAGCCAAATCTTCATATTATAATTATGTCGATCATTTTAAATCCTAGGGAAAATTTTGGTGAGAAAAATTAAATTTATTAAAGTTTAAATCATATTCCGGAGCATGATGGTCAGAGGATGAGAAAGAGTTCTTACGAGAAGTCCAACCAGTACTTCCAGCCGACGGCGACATAATCGATGAGCTTGCATAGTTTTCCATCGAAGCCGTAAATTCAACGGCTTGTTCCATTCCTTCAAAAATCTCGATAATTTTCTTTCCCGACGAAAATCTTTAAAATATATTTATGAAAATTGTGATTTTTTCGAATACCGCATCAATCGAGTACGTTCTTTTTTGGCTCGGATATAAAGTTTACGAAGCCAAGCATCGAATCTATCGCGATAATTAATACCATTCGCAATTGTATCACTAAATTGTGTTCACTCTTTTGATAAATATATACATATAAGAGTAAATTACCGCTCTCCAATAACAGCTGAACGACAGATTTGAAGCATTCGTTGAACAACATAGTTTCCAAACTGATGGAATATGAGAATATCTAGAGCATCTTTACCAGTTTCTCTGAAATTGTTAACTTTTTAATTAACATATTTAAATAACTAACGGATGCGGTACGTAGCCTTCAAATATTTCTTCCATCATCTCAGTTAAATAGGTAACCGGAGCGTACGTAAATGCTCTTTCAACGACATGCGACGCGTATTTCTCTTGGGACATCGACAACAAATTTCTCCTAAAAATGATTGCTTAATTGCCAATCATAATACCTTTTTCATTACAATAAACACTTCTCGATAATGGCATCACGGTATTCCGACAAAACACCGGGCGTTTCAATAATATGCTGAATGACGTAGTTAGCAAATTCGTTCGACGCAAGATTCTGGCATCTGCTAAGAATTTTCCCCATCAACTTATGAAGAACACGACATTTTTCAGTATTATCCTCCTAAAAAGATAAATATGATTAAAAAATTGTATATTACCGAAGAAGTAAATTAAACAATTTGGTCAAATATTGCTGACGTCGCGCCACTGTGTAAAATTGAGGAAAGAAACAGCTGTATTTTTTTCAGCTGTTAGATGGTGGAAAAGCCCCTTCCAACACCCTCAAGACATCTGCCTTCGACAATACCTTGATACGATTTTCCGTGGAAAGAACTTCAACAACCGTCTGAACAACTCTGCATCCATATTTATCCTGGCAGATTTTTAGCAGATTTTCTTCATTTCTCTTACAGAAAAAATCGACTAGGAATTCCCATTTTCGCAATGCGAGTTTTTTGACGATCTATAAATTTCCTTGTTAAAGCGAAATAAGCTTAAAACTTGCCTTTTGAATAACATGATTAGCGTTTTGGTCAGTACAAATCGCCATAAGCCGTTCGTCACGAGGAATAGAATCAACCAAAGAATCTGCATATCTTGGGCGTAATTTCTGAAAATGCATTTCCTTCAATCTGAACAATAACCAAATCAACCTCTAGAGATGTTTGAATCACTCGACATCCGCTTTTATCAAGACAAAGAGCGGTGATATCAGAAACAATATGTTGCCGAATGAATTCCTGCTCCGTTTGACGTGAAAATTCAATAACTCGTTGAAGGAAAAAATTTCCAAAAATGTTTTTGCTCAAAGTCTGTTAATCCAACGTCATTAAATTTTTAAATTGGAAATTATTACCAGAAAAATCTCGCGATTGCTTACAACCTTGTGGCAAATTCTGTCTCGCAGAATGGGATCGATATTTTTTGTGTTCTCTCCATAAAAGTTGCTTTGAAGGAAACTAAATAAAAACTTAAACCCTAGTTATGCACTATATCTGTTTCTTACTGGCAGCCAGCTTTATCCATTGCGAAACAAACCAAAAGATCTTTTTCCACAACGTCATATAAAGTGAGATCATTACGAATTTCTTTGTTTTCATCCAAAGTCCAGGGAGGAAGTGTTGTCATGCGTCCTGATCTGTAAGTTTCGTCTAATTACGACAATAGCATTTGTTTTACCGCAACGAATTATAGAACTGGAACATTGGCGAACCTCTTCGCACCACAGAATCGAATTTGTCAATATCACCAATACCAAAATTTGAAAGTTGGAGAGAAAGTTCATCGATATCACGGCACTGAAGGAACGGAAAAGCGCCCTGTAAATGAGACTAATAATCGATTTTAGTTGTAACAAGTTTCATACCGATGCGCCAGACATAAATGGGGCAAAAGAATCGAAGCTTCGAGGAGATGATCCATCCGTTAAAACTTTCGAATATGGAATCACTAAAAATTATAATTAGTTACAGTTGGCGTCCGGCAACTGCTGTACGCGGGTATATTCACGTGTATGCGCATTCGCTGTGATCTTGCACGGGCTAACTGGTTATTTTTATAATTTTTTGGCGAGACCATTTCGAATGGTACACTTGTCAATGTACATCAATCGCCAGAAACCGACTATATATTTTTATTATTACGACAACATACTGAACGTATCACTCGAGCCAAATTCGTAACTATCGCGAAGTGTTCGCCTTGAACTCGATTCCCTTCTATTGGTCTGGAACTAAATGTTATTAAATTAAGATCTAGACTGAAAATAGAAAGGCAACGCACCCTATCAAAATTGCTCACTGATTGAAGTGGTGGGAGTCCACCGGGCAAGTCGTACTCCATTGGACTTTTTTGACTCAGGATTCTTATCTAAAAATAATTTTTTTTAACTTTTTTTATAGCTACAAATTTTTTATAAGCTGGAAAAATTGGAATTATCCGTTTAATGGATTAGAAATAGTTTTCAAGGTTAAAGAAAACAATTTTTAAAAATAGGAAAGGTCAGAAAAAATATTGTCGTAATATCTTTTACAGTACTTTGTTTTCTGTTCGAGACCCGACTAGAGAATTATGTTATGCGCCTTTTTACGTTCCCACGGTTTTCGGTAATGTAGATTTGAAAATTCCTTCATATATGTATTGTCGAAGACGGACGAAATTGACAAGTTTTAATGATCGAACGCGATAGCCATTTTTGATCTTAGCGCGAAATCAACAAATTATCGCATGCCCCTTTGGTATCTACTGTAATTTTCAATGCATTTCATGCTAGATCAAATCGAAAATCATTATGGCGCCAAAATTTGAATAACAACCCCCCCCCCTAAATTCGCCCGCCTTCGACAATATCCCAATCGTAAAAAAACGAGCGCCTTTTGTGGATCATCATACTTTTTTTGAACAGTGGGAATTTATTTGGGTACCGTACTACGGATAACCTGCGAATCAAACTTACCGTAAATCGCCGCAGGGTGTTCGTTTTTGTGCGAATGTAATATTATGGACACATTCATTAAGCGAATTTTTTTATGTAGAAAATTACATTAAATGTGCATTTTTTTTCATTCCTACATTGCACAAATAGGTAATTTTTTAAAAACATTTTTATTGCATGAATTATAATTATGCACATTGTGAGTGTTTTGAATAGAAATTTTATTTTCATATAGCTATTATTTAAAAATGTGAAACGACAGTATTAAAGCGTGAATATTTGAAAAATGCGTCAAATGGGCTGATAAATTATTAACCACTTTGATTTTTTAGTTTCTATCAAAATGTCGTAAGTTTATTTCTCAATTTTTATTGAAATTTTTGTTTGTCAAGGTTTGAATGTATACGATTCAATTCTTCTGTAGCAGTTATAGTTACATTTGCAACAGCCAATTTGTTTATCTCTCTTACTGTGAGATATTTTTCTAATATCTCCTTTGCCTCGTTCTGTGTTTCCGTTTCGTTATATTACGTAAGTGTTTCTTGTGTAATCAGTCATTTAACAATTTGTTTAGTGGTTTACTTTATACGGCACGTGGATATCTCGCGCAAGGCGAGCTGTTTTTAATGAGCCTAATGTAATGTTGACTTATCAACCTCGATCTTTAACTCACGGCCATCTTTTCGAGGTATTAAATGACGGAACGTAATTTGATTTAAAAGTATCCATTAATCTAAAGCCAGATCCGCCTACTCCAGTTCCCTCCACGGGCGGTCCTTTGTTGAGTGATCAATCCTCCAAAAATTCTTTTGAAAACGCTCGGAATGAACATTACAAAAACGAATTTGCTATCGCTCAAAAAATGGCGGACGAAAAAAGTTTTCCAGAAATTAAGGATAAAGTAAGAATGTTCGTTTATGCATTAATACTAACGGTAATCGAATCTAAGAAAATGGAAACTCTTCGAATTGAATTTGAAGAAGCTTCAAGTCCGTCAGGTTCAGAAAGAAGTGAATCATACAACATTTGAACCGATTTATCCACAAGTATATGTTAACAATTTAAATTGGTTTTATTTTTCTTTTCGTTATATTCCGGAGGAATCCATACTTGGGTCTGATATGCGATGTTGAGGTTCGACTGAATGTCTCTCATCGATTTGTCGTAATAATCGTTTTCATTATTACTATTTGTGGGGTTTGGACTGCAATTCTGCGAACTTCTTTCTGTAAACAAAATAAAATACTATGGGGCAATGTAGAAGAAAGTGAGACCTTCGAGAACATTTTTTAGATAACCGATGTAATTGATGGCCGATTTCAACGTTTCAATTTTTGACAGGCGCCTTTCGTGAAACGTCGCCGGTAGTTGGCGTCGCAAACACTCGAATCCCACATTCATACTGTAATCGAATATCAATTCAAATTATTTTAAATAATTTGGACAAAAATACCAACGCATGCGGCTTCTCTCTCTAGCATTTGCCTCTTGTCGTCTCATTAATTCATTTTTCTGATGTTCACGGCAATTTTTGTCGGTGCTTTTCGAGACCATTATTTTCCTAAAAAAAACCAACTATGAGCAGGAGAATAAAACATATTTGGGCAATTGATACATATTAGGAAAGCAAATATGTTTGCAGACATTCTTATTGGCCAGTAACAATTGTAAGAAACGCATGTGCACAATTAGTTAAGTAGTCTCAAGTGGTGGGCTCAATGAGGGTGCACTGTATCAGCTGCAGCATTGTATTCGCATTTCGAATCTACGAAGCGAGAGAATTGTCGGCCGATCAACTTACAGAAGTGGCTAAATTGAACTGAGCTGTCAAGTGGGCGGAGCTTCACCCTCTTGACATTATGAGCTCTCTCACTATCTTCTAATGTGAGATTGGGACCAAAAATGCGCGCGAAAATGTGAGTACACCCGATTTGAGGAGGGTTACATGAGTTGAGAAATAAGCCATAACATATGTTGTAGCTGCGCGGAACAAATCAACTCGCAATTACAAAACACTGCTGGCTCGAGCGCGCTTTATGACCGACCATATGTAACAAAATGATTTACTACATGTCATCGGGTGGGATTTATTTCAAAATTAAAAAGAAAACTCAGAGCTTGCATAAAAGGGGACGAGGCGAAACTGAAACATTTATTTCTTTTTGTCAGTTCCGTTCGATTTATCATGAAAACTCTTCGCCTTCCCTTCGGTTTCTTGATCCATATGAATGTCCATGGTTTTCTGCTTTGGTTCATCATCTCTCGGAGGACCGCAAATTCCAGTTGGATCAGTCTGAAAAATCAAGAATGTTTAAAATTAGATATAACTGGACACCTTGAAAAAGTCGCCATTCGGATTCTCCCAATCTGCCTGTTTTGATTTCTTCTAAAATACTTCTTCACGAATCAACTAAAGCGGAAAATGAATACCGCTAGTATTTCCTGTTCTTGCGTTTCCCAATCATACCTCGAATTGGTTTGCACTTTCTCATTTGTCATTACTTGCCATAGAGATTTAAAGAATAAACTGCAAAATATTATTTGCCATTTTTTTCAGTTTTAGCAATAAATTACTGATAGTCTGGTCGCTGGTAGTAGTCGAGTGATTTTAAGTGTGGCAGAATGTTTCCCATACAGACTGAAATTTGGATTATTTCTAGATTTTCACGAATTCTCAACTTGGCATATTTTGCATAACTGTTCGATCGTCCATGTTCATTTTCATCAACTCGACCTTCTCTCGATCCTTTTCCGATTGCCAGGGTAATCCGCCGTTCAACTCGATGAGAACATACAGAAGAGACCACACATCGTCGACGCGTCCTTGCTCTTTTCGATTGTGCACATTTGGTGAAGTGTATCGAAGAGTTCCGCGGAATTCGGCTGTTCCGCGCGCTTTTCTGGCCGTCCACTTTTTCGTTTTCTCGTTCTAAATTTCAACTATTCGAAACATTTTGGGAAACGGTTTTTTGATTTCACATATGTTGCGAAGGGACGAGCCAATCCGAAATCGAGAATGTGGACCATACGAGATCGAACTCCGTCTTCGGGATGGCCCATTACAAAATTTTGAGGCTGCAAATATTTGTATTTATTCAATTGTAATGCTTCTTTTTGGTTTCGCAAGGAAATATCTCTCAACACAAAGTAACACGAATTTTTTGTGTTCTCTGTTTTGTTGTTGCTACCTCCCGTTTAGGAATTCTTTTTAATTTTACACACGTGAACTTGAATATTTTCTAGCCGAAGTAGTACAGTATTCAAAAATTAAAAATTCGACGCTTCCGCAAACACTGAATAAATTAAATGATGGGAAAGTGTCGCAGCTTGCGTACAATCTCTTCTTACTTTTCTTTCATCCCGAAAATTTTAAAGCTAATTAATTTAAAATAAATTGATAGGTGCAAAGTGAAATATGCGGAAATTGTGTGTGTGCATAGAAAGAAAGCCGGGACTCTGGTAAATGATTCCTAGTCGTATACGAAAAAAGCGAATTTCTTCATCGTATAAGATAAAATTAAAATCGTATACGTTAATGGTAATCGTATTAGTTAATGTGAATCGTATAGGATCGTATACGATTCTGATGAATGGTTTGTAATCGTATACGAAACATCCGCATTTCCTCGTCGTATACGTTATTGCAAGGATCGTATACGATTTGGATTTTATCACAGTAGTGTAACCACCACAATTATACACTGCGGACATGCATTAAAATTGACGTCTAAATTCGAAAAACAATTTTCGAAAATTTTCGAATTTTTTCATATTCGATTTTTATGCGTATATTGCGTTTTAATATATATACTTTCCAAAAAATCGTGCATTTTACTGGCTCCGCTCTAAGAAATCTATATTTTCTTTGCAGATATGTCGCAAAATTCAAAACTATTTGCATATCGAAAGCGATATCGTTACACCACACGAGAAATCATGGAAAAAAATATATAGGGAATATCGGAACGAGACAGAAACAGGTGATAACAACAGAAAAAATGAAGAAAATAACTATTTTCAGAAAATAGAGAAACTTAACATCAGGTATAACTAAAAGTAAAAACAGAGCAAGATTTAATTTCTATAGATTCTATAGAATCGTCTGAAGATGAGCTCACTTGCGCGGAAGAAGATTTTGTGTCAATGTCGAGCTGTGACAACTTGCAAAGAGTCATTACGTCGAGAGGTTGTTACCGTTTTTGCATATTTTTGAAATTATTTCGCTTTAGGCCAATGGGAAGCATTATCTTCGCGAGATTTTATTTTCACAGTTTGAAACGACTATTATCGTCAGAAATCACAAAGGGAATTGGGCAAAGAATGTTGCGGAAGTATGCTTTATTATAAAATTGTACACCGTAGAAAAATTTTAGTGCTGCAATTTTGCAAGATTTGACGACCGAAATTCGTGCAAGACTTGATTCGGACCCAACGAGAAAACAACATGATGTGTCTATCGTGAAACTGAGAAAACTGCTATTTCGATATTCGGAGAATGATGATATCGAAAAAACGACAGATGTACCACTGAAGTACTCAATGCTGGCTCAAAAAGGCGATTTGTTTACTGAGAAATACAGCTATCAAGGCTCACACTACTCAATACAAAGAAATATTGCTTCGGATAATAGCGTCGTGATGTTTCGTTGGCGAAATTCACTGCAATATGGCGATGTATTGGGATTTCTCCTCAATGAGAAGTTCGGTGACCGGGTTATTCTACAACCATACATTCTAAATGAAAGGAATCATGTTCACGGTATGTTTTATTTATTGTTCAATCATTCCAAATGTAATGGTACCAGATTCCGCGAAAAAAAGCATTAAAATCGTCAAAAGCCGTAAAAAAATATCAGAACTCGTCAAAACCGGCAAAAACCATTATAATTATGGTTACCGCTGTTTGAGTTTTTGGCGAAATCTGCATAGTACCACAATAGAAACTATAGAAACCCTATACTTCCAGATAGAAACTTTATCCCAAAAATTCGCGGCAAAGCCAAACAAAAACAATGTGAGTATTTTTTTAAATTTTGCTATTCTCTAAATTTAGATCGACGTGATCGCCGTATACAACCCTGAAGCTCTTAAAGACGCAGAAATAATTATTCCATCACTGGATGGAAATAGTGGGTTTTTTGTGTTTCGAAAGCTTTGAATTTGTATTAAATCTTTTAACAGGAGACATCAACGTCGCCCAAATATTTTTGGAAATTCCGTTCATGAAGGCAGCTCTGAAGCATGTGATAAATACTACAGTCAACAGATTTGTCGATAAGGTATCTTACAATTATTTAAAGTTGCAAAAAATATCTTCAGACAATTCCCAATAACGATCGTGTGAATTATTCAACATCGTTTAAGCCAACTCCGCCGCACGCAACGCTTCCAGTTCGGTTTGTCAACACAGCGATTGGTATGCTCAAATAGCGCGAAAAATGTTTAAAATATGTTTAAATTAATTTCAGCTGTTTTACAAAAGACGGTTACCATCGCTGGAATGGCTGACGAAACGGCGAATTCTACAATCTCCTATTTGGTACACGGTCATATGACCTATCTCCTGTGAGTTTTCACTTTTTTAGTGGGCCTATGCAGATTTTGAAAAGAAACGCAGTAAAAACCTTTTAAAGAAACTCGACAACATTATAAAGATTCGGCTAAACTAGTCTTAATCAGATTTTTCGCGTTTTTCTCCAAAATCTGCACATGCCGAAGACTGCCTCATGATTAATCATTCAAATGAACTTAATTCAGAAACAATTCACGATCGAAAGCGCGAGCAGTGGAAAAAAATGGTTGATGCGCCAACCAAAATTAATTAATTTATTCCTTTTTCTTTTTCATTTTTTTGTCTTTCATATTTTTTTTTAAATAAACAGGTATAGAAATCTTTACATCATATATTTAAAAGCGTTAAAATGCCAAACGAGTAGTGTAAAGTGAAATGGTATACGAAAAAAATCTCAATCGAATACGAAAAAATCTCAATCGAATACGAAAAAATCCCAATCGAATACGAAAAAATCCCAATCGAATACGAAGAAATCGTTACCGTATATGAAGAATTGTAGTCGTATACGAAGAAATCACAATCATATACGAAGAATTATAATCGTATACGAAGAAATGCCAATCGTATATTAAGAAATCCCAATCGTATTTGGCCGCGTTTGAAGAGCGATATCAGCGTATACGATTGAGCTTTCTTCGTATACGACTCGGAATCATTTACCAGAGGATAAAAACGAAACAAGACCGTTCGAAGTTTTTCTTTTTCAGTTTTGATTTTTTTGAGGAATTAAATTTTACTGAAAGTTATGCATGTGAAGTATCCATGGTTTCAAAATTTAGTATTTTTTAGTATATATATTTGTTTTTAGTATTTTTTTTCTTTTTTTAGTATATACTTTTTATTTAGTATTTAAATTTAGTAAGTTTTAATTGAAAATCCTATTTCGAAATCCCACTGAATATGAATTATTTTAGGGTGAATTACCTTAATATCTCTATGAATAAATCCACAATCATGAAGATATTTCAAGCTAAAACAAATTTCAGATGATTTTTCTTCTTTTTGTTCTCGAAACCTGTATAAACACTGAATTCCTAGCCTACTCCATGTTCCTCTTGTGAATCGTTCTTTCGGTTGATCTGTCTTCAAGTGTTTCAAGTTTTCACCGAGTAATGTCATCACCATATAGCCTGATTATCAATTGATTTTATTTTTCGCTACGAGACCCACAATATTTTTGTCTTTTCGCTGCATGATACACAACAGGAATATGAGGTTGTGGTCCATTTTTATTCAGAGTCCGCAGAATCATTGTTTCGAGTTTAATCGCCGAGCCGCCTTCAACCTCATTTGATTCTGCTTTGAGCGCAGCTTTTTCTTTTTTCGCATTCTCGACAAGATACACTTGTCCGAATCCGCCTTCATCGAGCCTCTTCTTGATGACCCATTCGCCAAACTTTTTTCCTGTTGAAAACTTGACATTTGCCATTTGATCATCTTCTGCCATTTTGTTGAATCAGGGATATTAATTTTCGTTTCGACTACTGCAATTTCCATTTTATTCAAGAATTTTTAGAATCACCGACATCAAAGAGTGAACACAAGCAAGATTGCTTGCTTTGGAAAAAGTGGTTGAATATTGAAATGAATTTTGTAGGAATTTCTGTCGATCCTTATTATCTTCATTATCGATTTAGTTCACGTTGAAACAAATCAAAAAATTTTAAATGATGACAAATTCAATTGTAGCCATAATTTTAAGTTTTAAAGCATTTTAAGAGAATTCACATTGTCGGTATCGCGCGACTGCGGAAAATTGGCTAAACGCCAAAAAAAATGACAATGGTCTTGGCGCAACACTGAAAGTGTATATTTACGGGTCAATGTATAAGGATAGGTTAAAGGCGCACCCCGCGCAATGAGACCTTTTTTTTTTAAATTGTTGACATTTTTCCAATTTTCCGCAGTCACGCTTCGACAATATTTTTTCTTAAATTTAAACAGTTTCTTTAAAATTTAAATCATAGACAGACATGGTTCTTCGTGGACTTTCGAAAACTAGGCCACGATAAACGGTCCAATTCGCAATAATTTGTCGAATGCATTCAACATCGTTCGAGAATTTCATCTCGAACTCGCGCGAAAAAGTGCATTGACTAGAATGTTTTTGCACTTTTTGTTTTCCTCGATTCGTCTCGTTTTCCGTTTTTGTTTGTCTCGCCGATTTTTTTTTCTCGTTGATTTCACTTTAATCATGCAATTGCTGAAAATTCTCCCCACAAAGTTATTTGCTGGTTCTAAAATTTGATATTAGTGAATTCATTCTCACCGCATTTTTATTCAGAAATGTCCAATCATCGTGATCATGTCCGAAATCATATGCCGTTGATTGGAATCGGAACTTGGCAGGTATTTCCTTATTAATTTGTTTTTTTTTTGTTATCGAAGATTAACAAAACTCCGAAATTCCACTACTCGGAAGTCGTCTGTCATCTATAATATCAATTTTCGTCGATTTTTTCAGATTACCAAAGAAGAAACTCTTTACAATGTGATTGATGCCGGTTTGAAGACTGGCTATCGATTCATCGACACTGCTCAGGTTTATCAAAACGAAGCAGCAATTGGAAGATCTCTCGAGAGATTACTTCCTGCTCATGGATTGAAGAGAGAGGATATTTTCATTACTTCCAAATTGGCTCCAGCAAATGCAGGCGCAGAAAAAGCACCGAAGAGCATTGAAAAGTAATTTTTGTTTGTGTGTTTGTCACCTGAATTGAATATATTTTCTCGCAGATCTCTCGAAAATCTCAAAACTGATTATCTCGATCTTCTTTTAATCCATTGGCCGGGAAGTTGGCTTAAAAGTGCTGATACGAAAAATAAGCAACTCCGAGAGGAGAGCTGGAAAGTTCTCTGTGATTATTTAGGTGAATTGCTCAATTTTCGCACAATTTTACATTTTTCTTCTTAGAAAAGGGAAAACTCAAAGCAATTGGTGTTTCGAACTTTGAAATTGAGCACCTTGAAGAGCTGAAAAAAGTTTCGAATATTGTTCCGGCTGTGAATCAAGTCGAATATCATCCTCATTTCCACCAAGATGATCTTGTTAAATATTGCCAGGACAGAGATATTCATTTTCAGGTCTTATTTTGGAATCTGTCCTTTTCTTTATATATATATATTTTTTTTTTATCTTTTAGGCTTACAGTAGTCTCGGAAGTCCGACATATCGGGAGAACTTATTTTCCGATTCTGTTATTGCTGAATTAGCGAAAAAGTGAGCTAAATATAGAGAGTACTACCACTGCATAAACAAAAGTTCAGATACAAATGTAGCATTCCGGTTCTGCTTCTTGGATTTGCTTATTGCCAAGGAATCAGCGTTTTGCCGCGAACAACCAACCCGGATCACGCTGTTGCCAATTTCGAAGTCACCAAACTCACCGTAAGATAATTTGAACTCTATGAATTGAAATGATTATTTAGATCTCACAAGAAGATATTGACAAAATGTTGAGTATCAAAGTTGATCATAAAACTTGCTGGGACCCAAGAGTTGTGTCTTAATTAATTTTATTATTTAATAAATGATGTATAAAGCATTTGTTTAAAAATATCTCTACATTAAGTTCCTGAAAGACGAGATTTTTCTGAGGAAATGTCTATTATGTTAAGTATAACTGCTACAAAAATTGATTTCGCGATTGGTTTCAGATTAATCATCCTTCTTTGCTTTAGCTTGCTTTTTCTGCGATTGTTCTTTGTATAGATTGAGTAGATCAAATGCCGGAATACAGTTTTCCTCGCTGAAAACGAATGGGACAGCGCGTCTGTTCTCATTTACAAGCGGTCTTCGGGAAATTTCCTTTGCATCTCTTCAAAATACTCAAATTAAAAAAACATTTTTTTCAAAATTCCTACTTGAAGACGCAAATTGTCGGTAGTTGACGAGACATTGGATGCGAATTCACACAGAAGCGTTCTCCTTCCTTCGGCCAACGACCAATGTCCAATTTACCGAAGCGAAGATTTGGAAGAGTGAATCTAACAAAGAATCAATTGAAATAGTTTTCCATTCCAAGGAAATATTTACTTTTCGCTTAGTTTAGCAAAAACTGGAGTTGTATGCTTGCATTCTGGGCTCCATGTAGTGAAAAATTGAATTACCCAAACAGTATTTCGGTTTTTCGTAAGTTCTTGCTTAAAATATCAAACGTTAGATTTCGATTTGCCTGAAAAACACTCACGAAAAGCTGGTCTCCTTGGAAATATGTGACCTGCTCAGGACCACTGTATACAGGCTCCGGGAAAAGAAGCATTACGACCAAACAGGCGAAAACGTAGATAATTCCCGCAATTATGTCAGCACGAATGAATAAAAACATTCCGGCGAGCTGTAAACGCAAAATTAAAACAAAAAACAGTAAAACAGAATTTACCTTAGAAAATAAAAAGATATTGCTAACATAATCAAGCCAATTGGTTGCTTTTCTTCCTTTCCACATGATAACGACCAACAAGAACATTAAGATTTCTCGTTCCCTCTTTAAAAAAAAACATTTTAAAGAAAATTTTAAAAATAAAAATTACCGAATCAATACCGCATTCGTAATTGTTTTCCGTTTTAAATATATATTCGCAGAGTGACGAAGATTTTAATAGTGGAAATGCGATTGAGAGTAGAATGTTCACAAAATGATATCCGGTGAATGCTTGTTTTACTTCTGCTAGTTTCGGTAGCAACATTATTATCCTGAAAATCCAAAAAATGAGGGTGAATATTGGGCTTTATTGACAAAAATTGATTTAATTCCAAGACAAAATAAATAAAGTTCGCGTGGACTACATTCTGAAGGTTTCAAGGCGCGGCCTTAATTTATACTGAGGCCACGGCCATTCTTGCAGACTGCTTTAATTTCGTGATGTAATCTTTTCTTAAATTAGATGTTTATGAGATATCTGGTTGCATTTTGAAATGAAAATCAAGGTTGAATTAGTTTTGTAGACATGTTAATCATTTCAGGATGCTGGGAAGTTCAAGATTCCTCCTTCGACGAATATCTTTATCTGCGCGACTTTTGGCGACTGATTCTAAGAAAAAAACTATCGAAGACATTACCCAAGAAATGCTCCAAGTATGTGTACAAATTCTTTATCATATGTTTTTAATGGTTTTTCAGGCTCCTGTGTCAAGAGTACCACCAACAGTGCAAAGATTTGTGAGCGCATTTCGCCAAAAATTTCGATCCGATGGTCTTGATCCGTCAGTAAAATCTATTCTAGACCGAGCTTCCGCACAATTATACTATAATTGCGCTGATAATTTCGATTTCCCAAAGTTATGTGAAGCATTCGGTTTGGGAGATTATATGTCATCATGGTTGGGCTAATAATTGTATTATAAATATTAAAAACAAACATTTTAGGTATAAATTAACACTTATGCATACTTGGATGGTCTTGATGAGGTTACACGGAGAATTCGACGGAAAAGCATATGTGAGACTCCAACACGGATTGTTGTCCACGATGTGGCTGGACATTGATAACAGGTTTTGACATCTTTAAAGAGAATTAGACATGCAAATTTCTTTTCAGATTGAGTATTGTAAGTAAAGAATTAGGACAAGTGGTGACATCAGAAAGCGACATGAAGCACATGCATGGTGTGCATTTGCAAACATTTTTCGAATATGACGAGGTCTCTTTTTGTTATGCTTCTTATTTTTTTCTTTCACTTTTTAAATTAAAAGAATCCAAGCAAGCTTTACATAAATAAGTGGAATTCACGCATTTCAATGTTATTTGAAGTAATATAAATATTTTAGGGTTTCCTAAGTGACGATCGCGTACTTGCCGGTGCTGTTTGGCGTTGTCTGTATATGTCGAGACCTGTTGATCCAATTCATTTATTGCGTGTCGTCACTTACATCAGATCAACTGTCGCTTGGCTGGAAACGTGTGATACGAATCAAATATTAGTCGATGGAATTGCCGAATGGAAGCAGATCAAAACAATATAGATTTTATATATTATTTATTAGTTTTCTTTAGAATAGATACACTGATTACGTTGTTTTGAAATAGTTTTCAATGAAAACTTTTTTTTTTCATATTTTCTTTTTCTATCATACGTCATATTCAATTTCTATCTTTCGTTTTATGGTTTTCTTAATTATTCCTGTTTTGAAATTAACTTCATAAATCGTCTTTTGCAGGTTTCCTCATGGCCAAACCACCATTTCCTTCATCGACCTTGAAATGGTGCCAGCAAGAATTTTGGCCGATTTGCGAAGGGTTTTCAATGGTTGCCCGAAGTCAGATTGGCTATGATGCCAGAAGAGCAGAAGTCAGATTAAGGAGAAAAGCACTTGAAGTGGCAGTTTGTGGAGGGAAAGAAGTTGACCCATTAGAGGTTTTTTAACTGATTCATTATTTCCGAATATCAATTTCTTTCAAGACACCGAACACTAAAAATGATCCACTTTTCCCAACATCAAACGAAGCATTGCAACGGGCTCGAGTTGTTGCCGCAGGAATCGAGGCATTTGCAAAATTACTATCTTCTGGTTAGTTAGTTTTTTTTGTTACATTCTCGATGTCGCCCTACTGCGGAATATTGGCTGTGTACCACAGCAGTCTTTTCTGTCATAGTATTGTGCGCCTTAAGCATATCCTAATGCTCAAGCCCGCAAATTTACACTTTTTGAATTGTACCAAAATCGTTGTCAATGTTTTTAAACCAATTTCATGTTGTCTCGCGACGCCGACAATATATAAGGCCAATTTTCACATTTAGGAGTTTATCCGGGCGCTGGTGGTTATACTCTGTCTGAAAATGGAGAAAAACTATACGTGAAGCAATCATTGCCACTTCAAACCTCGGTTATTTCGAATTTGATGAAAACTGCTGAGAAAGTTGGACAAGGTGTTATGAAAGTCGCCCCGTTTCCTCTTCCAGTTCTCACCCAACTTGGCACTTGGGTTTTAACAAATCCCAAAGGTTGATAACTCATTATTGAATTATTTCTTATTAAATATTTCCAGCCGAATTACCTCTTCCGGCACAATTCAAAACTATTCCACAAATTGCTCAACTCGAACAACTTATTCAATCAGTTCTAGGAGTTTCTTCTTCGAATTCAACCAATAATATTGAGCCAACGAAATTGAAATTGCGAGGTTTGACAAAAAAATTTAGGCGAACAAATCATCATTTTTAGATGTTGATTTTCGAAATACATCAAGAATAGATGAAATTCCGTTAGATAGCTCCTTAAGCAAGGAAGAAGCTGATTTCTTATTAAGAGCTGCTCAGTCTGTAGAAGACGATGACGCTGTTTCTAAAATTTATGGAAAAAGTATATAATAGGTAAAATTTTTTAAAGAGTGTCGAAAATTTCAGGTCGTGAAACAACTTTAGAAGCAGTTGAAGCTCAAAAGGTCGCAGAAAATCAAGTAATCTATTGGAAAAAAAATAGTTTTCAACCAATTTTTTAGTCTTCTGGTCCGATTGTGTACAGACCCGAACTTCCAAAAGATTATGAATTGAATTTAAACGCGGGTAATACGCATTCGTTAACGAGAAGTAATGAAAGTAAAGTGCCATCTACTCGCATTGGAAGGTATTAAATTTATTGATTTAAAATCGAAATAGAATATAATTACAGGTTAGCCACATTTGGATCATTAGCTTTCGGCCTTTTGGGTGGTGCTGCTGCTGAAGTGACTCGTCGTACTGTCGGAATGGGGCAAAAAGCAGTGACTTCTCCAAAAAATCCATTCCTTTCTGAAGCAAACGCTGATCGAATTGTCGCCACATTGTGTCGGGTAAAAATTGATAATTATTTTGAACCTTTATTTGATAAATGTGATTTTTTTGTCAGGTACGCGGTGCTGCTTTGAAACTTGGTCAAATGCTCTCGATTCAAGACAGCTCGACAGTTCCGCCGGCTTTGTTGCAAGTTTTCGAACGGGTCCGTCAAAGTGCGGATTTTATGCCACTCAAACAGGTTTCCAATAAGCACACACTTTTGGAATTGATTGGCATATTTTTAGGTTCACAAACAAATGCGCGAAGCGTTTGGAGACGATTGGAGAGACAAATTTGCAGAATTCGATGAAAAACCATTCGCATGCGCATCGATCGGACAAGTTCACAAAGGAAAATTGCACGATGGACGAGAAGTGGCCATCAAAATTCAATATCCCGGAGTAGCTGAAGGTATCTAAAGTAACTAAACACCCAGTTAATTGATTATTCGAAATCGAACAGGAATTGACTCGGATATTGACAATTTAGTCTCAGTTTTGTCCGTTGGCGGAATATTTCCAAAAGGTAAGGAATATTTGTGATTTAACATACCGGAATGGATATTAAGGAATGTATCTTGATTCTTTTGTGAAAGTGGCTCGCCGAGAATTGAAACAAGAATGCGATTATGAACGAGAAGCGAGAGCAATGCGGAAATTCCGCGAATTGATTGGAGACTGGAAGGATGTTTATATTCCGGAGGTTTTTCGCGACAATATATATATTCAATTGAGCATAGTTTTCGTTGATTTGAGGTTATCGATGAACTCTCATCGTCGCGAGTTCTCACAACCCAACTCGTATATGGAAAACCAGTAGATGCTTGTCTCGAAGAACCGCAAATTGTCCGCGATTATATTGCCGGAAAGTTCATCGAGCTGTGTTTGAAAGAGGTTTCTTTTTTTCTCGTTCCCTTCTGTATTCATTTTCTATAGATCTTTGTATGGCGATTCATGCAAACTGATCCGAATTGGTCAAATTTCTTTCTTGGCAAACATCCAAGTACGGGCGAACCGTGCATCATTCTTCTTGATTTCGGAGCATCGCGATCTTATGGAAAAAAGTTTGTCGACATTTATATGAATATTATCAAAGCGGCGTATGATGGCGACACAAAGAAGATTATCGATTATTCGCGGGAAATTGGATTCCTCACGGGATACGAGACTTCGATAATGGAACAAGCGCATGTCGAATCGGTGATGATCATGGGAGAAACATTGGCAAGCAATCATCCGTATGATTTCTCAAAACAAGACGTCACTACCAGGATTCAGAAGTTGATTCCAGTGATGTTGGAGCACAGGTTACATTGATTTCACACAAAAAGTTATTGAAGTAATCGTTTTAGGCTAACATCTCCTCCTGAAGAAATCTATTCACTTCATCGTAAATTGTCCGGCTGTTATCTTCTCGCTGCCAAATTGAAAGCTACCGTATCCTGTGGCGGTCTATTTCATGAAATCAATACAAATTACCAATTTGGTGATGATGGAAATGATATTGATATTGATACTGTTGAGAAATCGGCATAATGATAGTTCAGTTCGCAAAGTAGAAAATGCCCAGATTTTTATTGAAATTATGCACGATTCTTTCGCAAATTGCTCAAGGAATGTATTTTAGTTTAGTAGTTTGAATAGTATGGTGATTGTTGTATTTTTTGTTGCTTTTGTTTTCGTTAAATATAATTTTTAAATTTAGTTTCTTATCTGAAAGAAACTGTAAGAGCAGTGGTAATATTTAATGTAAAAGTTGTCTCATTTTTTTTTTTGATAATCTAGATGCTTCCTGATCTTTCGCCACATCTGCACACAAAGGAATGCAACCTTCTAATTGAGTTCTTGCAAAGATGTCATGCCGAGAAAACCATTGGTATACATTCATTCCTTTTTCGTTTTTTTCGCTAGCAGTGAGAAAAACTGCTGGGAATCCATGCGGATGTCCGCGTCCGTCTAATTCGTTCGCGGCCGACCATTAAATTTTTTCATTTTTTTTAAATCGAAATTTAATATTCCAGCTCTTTGTTTAACAATTTTTTTCCTATTTGGGACTTAACGACGGCACCGTTTTTTTTGAAATTTTTTTCAAAATATGTACATCACCAATCTCTTATCCTAGAGAGTTTCTTGTATTAAAAAAAAACTCCCCGAAACCTTTTATGAACTCATTAATTTAGGAAAAATGTTTGGCCAGTGTGCATATTGGGATGAAGCTGTTTGGCAATGCACTAAAAAGGAAAGAATTTGGAGAAGGTTTCAAATTAATTTCTTATTCAGTTCATAAAATTATTTCAATTGTTTCAGAGATAATAATCCGCCATACAAAAGAAGAATTGTTGAGCTTCGTAACTTGCCTGAATCGTATTGGACTCCAGCATTGCACAAATTGAAAGAAGAAGGGTTTCTTAGGCCGGACGCGGATAGAAACGGATGCAAAATTTAAAATTTCAGCAGATAGATTTTTTAGATGCAAAATGATGAATATTTTTATAGATAAAGTGGAAATAAGGACCATATAAGCAAAAAAAAAGAATAAATAGACGAATAAAACTGTCAAATTCGAAAACACGTTTGGATTCAATAAGTGAGATTCAAGAAGAAAAACCAGCAATATAATACAAGAGGTACAAGAGAAAAAAGGCGATTGTTAATAAAACACGCAAAAAGTAATAAAAAGTGAACAAGCGGGGCTTTTACAAAGATACTTACAGCATATTTTTGAGATATTTCTTTATCTTTGGCAAATTTTTCGAAGCGCATCATAAAAACGATGATGTCGTTTCATAAAATCTGCGTATTCTTCAACTGGACAATTTCCGAAATAATCTCCTCCGCGAAGTTTTTGATTATTATTTCCAGTGTATAATTCATTTAGTCTCGATTCGAGAATCGAAATTCCGCTCTAAATATCAAATTGGTTTTTCAATTGAAAAATGAAAATGCTAATTACCGAAATTGTGTCATGGTCCACAACATGCCGAAGAAAATGATGAATGACGTGATCGATACAATAACTTCGATATGGTATTAGTTTGACAGTAAACCAGTCACCTTTCCTAAAATGAATTTCGATAGAATGCCCAAATTACTTTGATTAGTTACTTGGCTAATCTGTTAAGCATATCTCCAACTTCCTCCTCAATTTGCGAAGCATCATTACAGCAAAGTTCGATGGGAATGATTTGTGCCCAAACTGTCAATGGAATATCCTCTCCAGGAGGAATCACAACCGCATATCCGAGAGCCGTTCTTTCTTCGTTTGTCATTAATTCGACACACCTTCGAAGTGCCAAATCAAATGATTTATAGCGATATGGATTATTGCAAGAAATAGCAGAAAGTCCACGGGTCTCAAGACGAGTTACCAATTGATCAAGTCTGAAATCATTTAAATATAATATTTCAAAGTTTTATAAGGAAATTCAACCTATCATAATCTTTGGGATCACACATTTGATTCATAATCGAAAGAAGAGCCGGTGAGCCGCTTGATAGTTTAGTCACTTCGCTTAGAATTTCCATCTAAAGCTTGAATTCTTTCAAAATTGTTTGAACTAATTGAGAACCACCTCACTATCATCAATCGGATGCGGCATTCCAAATGACTGCAATAAAAGGCCGCATTCATCTTCATCGAGTGGCGGAACTTCAACAAAATCAACTGTAATTGATGCGACATTCGCAAGACCAATGTCTCGAGTTGTTATAATACAGCGCAGCTGAAAATTGCGTTTTTTTGTGAAATTAAAATTCAAACAAAATAAATAATAATAATAGTAATAATAATATCGTCTTATAGTAGGGGTCCGGCGACTGCTGTACGCGGGTAGATTTACGCGTATGCGCCTTGAAAAGGTCTCGCCACGCGTGAATGCTTATTTTGCTGTTTTCACGTGAACTGCTTCATTTTTCTTGATGAACTTCACTTTTCCTTGAATATCCAACGTCATTCGATTAAAAATTATGGAATCGGTCCATAAAATTTGAAATAGCCTGTTAGTCCTTGCGAGACCATTACGAAAGACGCATTCCCGTAAATCTACCCGCGTACAGCAGTCGCCAGACGCCGACTATATATTGGAATAAACAGAAAGAATGAATAACGTGACAAATTATAAGTTGCATTTGATTTTCTCCAACAAAGACCAAAAAAATTCGAATAAAATTCTCACATATCGAGAAAAAAAAAAAAGAATTGTGGGAAATCTAAAAACGAAAATGAATTACCCTCAACTCTTGAGCCCATCGAATTGTTTCTTCGAGAATGACGTCATCGAAAACAATCAAAGTGTTCGGACGATCAATCAAAGCATTAGCTATCTATTAAATAATTATTTCATTTTTCTCATTGTGTTTCTCTTAAAACTACCATTTTCTTCAAAACCATTGAGGTGACATTGTCTAAATTTGGGCAGTTCATTAAGTCATCTTCACTTCTGAATTGAAAAAGCTTAAAATCAAAATCAAAACCGCGAAAATATTACTTTAGCATGAGAAGAAGGTCGGAAAAAATATCGAAATTCGATTTGCTATCAATTTCTCCGCATCTCATCCAAACAACTGATTCGAAACATCTGACAAAAAATAATCAAAATAACGTTTTTTGAGACAAAATCTCACAATCCAATAATTTCGTCGGATTTTGATAAAGCTTGTGAAGCGATGACAGTTTTTCCAGCACCCGCGCGACCGTGCAAAAAAAGAAAAAAACAGTCTAAATTAAATGTAACAAAATTTTCAAGAGAAGAAAAAATCATTAAAAATACCAATATCCGCCATTTCTTTGAGTTTATCAATCACTGTATCGACAATTTCAACCCTTTGGAATCCGGTCATTTGCCTTGGAACAGCGCCAAGAAGCAATTTTCGATTCATCATGTCTCGCACAAGTCTCGGAGCAATTACAACTTCTCTTAATCTGAAAATTCACGATGAATTTTGAAATTCTGGCAAAAAGTACTGGTCAGGATCGGTGATCGAAAACTGTACAAACTCGTCCAAAAATATCGATATATGTGATTGATTGTTGTATGCGAAAAAATCGATGAGACGAGACAAATCGTTGGCTTGTCGTCGAAATATTCGCAAGAAACAGCTGATTCTTTCGAGACGCGTTGTCTGAAAATGCAATTTCAAGTTTTGCCATTACGATTTAAAAATTACCTTGCTTTTGATTATATCGCAATGATCTTCGTTGAAAATTTTTGAATTTTCTAAATAAATTAAAGCATCATTTGGCTCAAAATCTTGAAGCTGAAAAGAACGAAAAGTGAAATACGAACGAAAAAGGAAAATAAAATACCAAGACATGATGAACGGCGCTGAGTGCTCGACACTCGATCTCCGACAACATCAATCTGAAAATCGAATCGAGAACTTTAAATCAGAAAAAAATTGTTAAAGTATGAAAACCCAATAATGAAATGGGTTAATAAATGAACGAATAAACAATATTTCATATAGAATTCTCTATTTCGAATTGAATAAAATGATTTCTCAAATCTTTGAGAAAAAAGAAATCACGAAAGACATGTGGGGAAAATGAAGTAAGTATTTTGTGCAAATTTCAAAAGAAAAGAATCATGGAATAAATTGATAGAGGCAGTTTTGATCACAGATGTTATTTAGTTAAAATGCGATTTAAAATGATACTCACAGAGCGGACAAAGAAATAAAATAAACCATAAGAAAACAAAATTCACTGACTGAATGCATTGCTTTGGGCTCACAGGTATGATGGAAATAATTGAAAAATACTAAAATAAAAATTATTATAAAGAAAATATCAAATAAATGTTGGGCAATTAATAAGTCCTAATCAATTGACTAATTATTCTTCTTTTTATACACTTTCACACGTCCTTCAATGAGATCCGATAATGATGCGTGTACCTGTCTTATATCCCAACTCTAAATAGAATTTTAATTTTCTCGACAGCAAAACAAAAATCGATTTTTACCTGAGTTGCGCGGAAAAACACTACAGAATCAGTAATATTTTCCGCTTTCGCCGGGATTTTTCCGTATTCGTCGTTTTCTACATACACTTCTTCGCCTTGTTTGTACCTGAAATTCTCAAGAAATATCACAAAATCTGCGAAAAAAAAAACTAACGATTTTCCCTCGTAAACGAATTTCATCTTTTGTAAATGGACATCATACAATTTTTGACTCTGAAAAGTTAAAAAAAAATCATTGTGAATGCCTAGAAACTTTGCAATACGTACCCTTGATGTTATACTCGCTGAATTTGAGAAAATCGCGTTCAAATCTTTGAGTACTTCATGGTCAGGTAGTAAATAATTGGCTGTAATTGCAGCCGGCACCGGTGCTCGTGGAGTTGCGTTGAAATATGTCGGCGGTTCGATTAGAGTTCCACCTCCTCGTCTGAAACTCAGTAGTTTAAAAATATATAGAATAAGTAATGAACATATTTTAGTCATTAATTTAAAAAGCAAAAAAAAAAACATTTCCTTCGTCGATCTCTAAACATTTTATCGATAAGTCGAATTCGCTATTTTATAAGCAAATAGTTTTTTTTTTAAATATGAACAAAATTTTCTCATAACGTCATCAACTTCCTTATAAAAAATTTTTTAATCTAATTTATTAAGAAATTAATTTTAAAGTTTATTTTGATAATAATAAACGAAACAATACCCTCTTAACGTCTTTTTGGTCACGTCAATATGATTTGAAGTTGTCGGTTTGTTGATTTCCAAACAGGAATATTCCATTTCCGTTCTTTTTTCCAACATTTCCAAATCCTAAAACCGTAATTGAATGAGATTTTCGTGAAAATTCGAACCTTTTCCATCTCCGCCCGCATATTTCTCAGTTTTTCATCAGTGTCTTTACTGATTTGTGCTAATTGCATTTCATATTCTTCTTTTAAAAGTTGCTTTGTTAGCTAAAATTGAGAATATTTTTGAAAATTCAAATCAAAATTACCGTATTGGAGATTTCTGTTCTTTCTAGTGAATCTTGCATTTTTTCTTCGAATTCGTCTTGACAAGATATTAAATATGGATGAGTTCCTAAATTGTGATGAAATTTAGAGCAAATTATATAAAATGATAAAATAAAAACCTTTTTCTGCCATTTTTAAATCGACTTCGAGTTCTTCTAGCGTTTTTTCAGAGAAAAAAGCCATCATTCCTAAACCATTTTGAATTATTTTTGAAAAACTCGATAAATTTACCAGTATTATCGATTATCTCGTGATATCTCGGTGTTCGTATTTCTTTCGGTGAACTTCTTGTCAACTGCCTACGAGTTCGAACAGACATTCTCTATAAAATAATTTATCAATTACTTAAATTTACGTAAAACATACCTCATTTGAGCGGTTTTAAAAAAGAAACTGCTTGGCAACCTGAAAAAAAGTTTATTTTCGAAAAAGTCGATTTTCGAATTTTGCCATTTTTTTAATAATCAGAAAAAAATATATTAACGTGACAAAAATTGAAATCGTATTTGTAATAAATAGCGAAAAATGGCTTAAATTAAGAGTCTACAAAAGAATTTTAATAGAATGAAAAATGACGGAATTAGAGTGTATTCAAATACGCGTCTGGCGTCTACCAGCTACGCCGTCAAGTCTGGTGCATTGGCCGCAATTTTTTACTCGGTGTCTGCGGTCCAATTTTTGAAATTTTTTTTTTTTTGAGAAAAAATTTCAATGTTTTTTAAATACAACTTTCTTTTCTTCTTTAATAGACTTATTCATGTGATGAAAAATCTAAAAATATAAGTTTTTCCAATCCAGGCTTGTAAAAAATGCACATTTAATGTCATTTTTAAATGTTTTTTGTAAAATAAATTCCATGATTAAGTTCCACTGGATAAACTTTTGTTGACTAATTGAGTTTTTTCCCCGGTTTGTCCCTAAATGTTCCGCGGGTTCTCCCAAACCAAAGAGGATCCCTCTGTTCGTGCCGAACGAATCGCTGAGGTGATCATAAAAGAAGACAGTTTGTCGATTTTGCTCTTGCGGAATTGAGATACTTTCTTCCCCATTTTGTTTCCTTGGTGTTTCCTGAAGAAATATGTATTTTTCCAAATTTTAAGAAAAAATTACGTTTGTCTTGCCGTGATATTGAAGCTGAAGGCGCTGTCATAATTCTGAAACTTGAAGAGTAAAAAACAAAATGGTTGTTTATGTGAATACGCATTTTCTCGCACATGTTTGTCTGCGTGTACATCTACCCGCGTACAGCAGTCGCCGGACGCGCATTTAATATTCAGTCAACGAAAAATTTAAATCTACATTGATTTCGCGAATTCGAAGGTGCCGCCCCTTCAGTCGTTTAACTCAAACAATAAAAATGCGCGAAAACAGGCATCTGTAATGATTTACAATTTTCTGATCTTCCGAATAGTGTGAGAGAGTTCTTACCCATCTTTAGATATCCTCCATTTTTGATCAAAAGTCAACTTTTTGTAATTTCAGAAAATGGTCATCTATGCTCTAGGTCGGGAATTGATTCTAAAATGTGTTTTTTTGTGGACTCTTGAACACTTTATACTCATTTTAATATCAATTTCTGACATGCTAGACCATTAATATTATTTTCTATCCATGCCTGATTTGTTTTATTGAAAATAACAACAATTTAATTACGAGAAACAGTAATTATTCTTTTATTTCTATCTTCTTGACAAATTTTGTCGACAGCCATAAATTGGTCATCGAATGTGTGAATAATCGGCATGTATAACGATAGGCAATTATTGTGCAATAATTGAAAAAATTTTGATGAAAAATATATTTATGAAACATCATTATGTATAGCTAAAATGAACGAGTGACTCATCAGATTTCATTTTGGTTTATTGCTTTTTTTTTCTGAATCGTTCGATTTTTTATCGAAATAAATCTGAACAAATATATAATTATGGAAGGCGCTCGTTATTTTTTTTTTGCGATAATGATGTTATGGGGTGCGTTTTTGGCGGTCGGATTTCTAGAATTGGTTCTTGACGAGCAGGGTTTCACGAACGGACTTTCAGAATGTTTTTGAGAGCCATCTGCTTCCATTCCAACGTCGTTATTGTCCTTTTTCAATAGGACAATGCGGCCATTGGAAGGCTCAAAACTGACATTTAGGTGGAGTGAAAGACGTTAAAGCAGAAATTCAAATCAAAATCGATCCAACATGTTTCAAACCTCAATTCTATGCCAGACCGTGTTTTTGATATTTTTACCTTGAAAGGAAGTGCCACCAAACATTTAACTGTTGTTATTTTTGAGTTTATAAATTGTTTCTTACAATTTATACAATTTTCTTGTTAGGGTAAATTTATAATTTTGCACCGCTTGAAAAAACGGTTTTTGACCAATACTCGGTTACTTTTTACGATGCTAACGTAAAAATTGGTATATTTATAGTCGACGTCCGGCCGTCGGCTGCTGTACGCGGGTAGATTTACGCACATGCGCCTTAGAAAGGTCTCGCTACGCGTGAATGCTTATTTTGCTGTTTTCACGTGAACTGCTTCATTTTTCTTGATGAGTTTCGCATTTGCTTGGATTTCCAACGTTATTCGATTCAAAAACCGGTCCATAAAATTTAAACCTATTAGTCCTTGCGAGACCATTACGAAAGACACATTCCCGTAAATCTACCCGCGAACAGCAGTCGCCGGACGCCGACTATAGTTGGTGACTGCTGTATTCGGGTAGATTTGCGGGGCTTTTCAATCACCATGGTCTCGTCCCATATTATTTTGTAGTGAATAGCATAGTTCCGTAAATCTACCACCAATTGTGATGTTTGAATTTAAAAAATGCGAATATCATATCATTAAAACGCACTGAGAGTTTCGCGTAGGCAATTTATCAGCCACAATCCCGGCATTTTCCCATGTGTACATTTTTTCGTTCCTCTTGCCACCCCGTTCCCCTACCCTTCTCGTTTGCCTTTTCCCCAATTGATTTTTGTTCAATGATAAGGACACAAGACCTGTTGCATTTGACATGTTAGATCATTCTATATCAACATTGCTACAATGTTTTTTTTTTTTCATTTTACGGGTGATTTCTTCTAATAATTTTGTGTTTTTTTCCCTTTCACTATGAATCTCGTCTGATTACTTACTAATTTGCATTGTTGTCATATTTCACTATTTATTAAATATAGATTAATGGGTTACGAAAAAAAGTGCACTTGGACCATTTCCCTGCATGGCTTATGTAAAAATGACTTCCGACAATCGATGATATCAGAAATGTACGTTTGTCGATTCAACGATTCTCATGACAAGTGATTTTTTTTTGTTCGGCGAAAAAATTTATTGGTAACGTTGGGAAGAAGCCAGGTGCCTCTTGCGATAACTGATGCTTTCAAACATTAAATATAACAAATTTTTCGTTGTTTCCTGTGTGTCTTGGTATATTTCTAATTATTTTCACTTACATCCTTAATATTCTCTTGTTATTAATTCTCACAGTCAACTAACCGAATCGTTCACTTTTAAGCAAAAAATGCACCGCTTCTCCGTGCACGAGCAGTGCTTCGATTTAATCGCAGCACACAGCGACGTCAAATCGTGTATCGCGGAGGGACACCAAGTATTCATAATAACACGAGGACTAACCGGTTCCGGAAAATCGCATATGGCCCGGTAATAATCTGCAAATAATCATTAACACCTGGTGATGTGCACGAATTGTAGGGAGTTCGCTGAATTGTGTGACAGCGCGATAATACACGATGTTGCGAAATATCTTAATGGTCGTAATAATTCGAGAGAAGCTATTGCCAATTGTATTCCGAAACTCATGAAAGATGGTATAATATAAAGGGATACCACACAAGGGGATTTCAAATTGTTTCAGTGAAAAATACGGCCGCAAAACGTGTTAATAAGCTATTGATCGTAGAATTGGAAAGTGTTGATTTGTTACGGTACAAGTCACTCATTGATCAAGTCAGTTTAAATCATCTCAAATTCCTAAACCAGCATTATGAACCTTTAATCAGTGATTGCATTTTTAAAATGTCACAATCGAATTATTGATCATTTTCGTTCAAACATCTCTTGATTAATATTTGCACACAATTTTGAAATATTGAAGTGAATTCCTTTTTCTTTCGCTTTGTTTGATATTTAGTTGTATTTTAACATTGTGTGTGTTATTGTTTTTTTTAATTATCAACTATTGTGAAAAAATGACGAATGTGAAAAACTGCAGCGATATCCTATGCATTGTGTGTGTACACCCACCGAGTCGCACATCTCGATCTTAGCTACAGTAATCTCAACTAAAAATTATTTAATTAATTATTGATCGTTTATTTTTATAAAAAAACAATTAACTTTGAAAATATACAAAAATGATTACTATCATATTTTTTCAATACAACATTATACATAAAACCACAAATTCGCCAAGAATAGACAGAAAAAATTTTAAAAAATATTTGATTAAATAATTTTTAGTTGAGATTACTGTAGCTAAGATCGAGATGTGCGACTCGGTGTACGCACACAATGCATAGGATATCGCTGCAGTTTTTCACATTTGTCATTTTTCCACAATAACATGTCGAAATCAGCCACACGACGAAAACATCTTTTTAGGCAATCAGAAATGATTACGAAGTGTATGTGCTTGAGCCAGAAACAGACTGGAAACGTAATGCTGCGGAATGTTTGCGGTATGTTGTCATATGCTCTCAAATCAAATGTTTGCTAATTATGGCTCAAAGTCGGGTCGAGTTAATTTTTTTTACCTGAAGGCTTGTGAATAGTTTGTAATTCAATATATATTGAGAATCTAACGAATGAAGTGGGGGTAGATTCACGGACGTTGTAGTCTCGTGATGACTAATTGGTTATTTCACATTGAATGTCTAATTTCGAAAATTTTAATTCTTTTATATCCTTCAAATGCAAAGAATTTACAAATTTTACAAAAAAAAAAACACATTTGATACACATTTAATTTTTTCGCATACGCATTTAATTTGAATTTTAACATGAAATTTCAATTCAAAACATTTTTTTGTGAAGCGTGATGTGCGCCTTTAACGTATTCGTATACTTTAGCGACAAGACCGTTGCCAGTGTTTTTGTTATCATTTGTTAGAAATTTGAGAAAATTACAAACTCATCCAGGAAAATAAAAACTTCTCGTTAACATAACAAATAAGCATTAACTCGTGGCGAGACCATGACAAAAGGTGCACTTGTAAATCCTAATGCATTAGTTAATTTATAATTGTATTTGGTTGGTCGTATTTGAAGGACATTATAGTTTTTTTTATTAACTTGTGGCGAGACCATGACGAAAGGTTCATTCGTAAATCTATCTTGTATTTAATTACGGTAATATGCAGAATGCTCACAATCAGGAAACTAGATTTAATCGGTAAAAAATTTTTATCTCTAAAAAAAATTCACGTGGGGAGGGACTAAATCTAGTTAATTCGATTGGAACTTTTCTAAAGAATCTGTATGCAAAAAATAAACAAATATTTTAAGAAATAAAAAAATTTTAAGCAAAAAGACCTCCATTGTTAACGCCAAAATTTTGAACTGTTTTGATTTTCAGACGAAGCACTCGCGGTTACACAATGGAAACTATGGAGGCGCGTTTGATCGAAATTGACGAAATGACATCGAAACTGAGTTTGCCGTCTTTGGTGAATTATAAACAAGTCAAGTATTTGCCGAATCAATATTTTGGAATTCTCTTATCAATTTTTCAGGGTTCAAAATTATAGAAACCCGAATTCTTCCACACAAAATGCCGCTTTTCAAAATTCGAATCAACTAAACAACTCTCCGCCACCACCTGACGATGATTCAAAAACGTCGAATTCGATTTTGCCGTTATTTTCTCTTAAACCGCTTCCCGCGAAGACCGTTATGATGCGCAATGTCTCGATTCAAGTGAGGTTTAGTGATAGTAAGTGCATCGCGCTGGGTTATTTCATCTAAATGATTTTGTTCTCAGTTGTACGGTATATCGCCGATCAAGATGTTGAAACAATTGGATTCATTGAAATTGAAGATTCAGTAGAACGGCCGGCGCCGATGCCGAATCACAATGTGCAAGGGCGTTATTCACAAGATGAAAATGAAGAGTTGAGTCTAAGGTACGAATATTATTTTCGACTGCGGATTTTGTACTCCATATTTTAACCGGTTAAAACTAATTTCCTGCTCATTCTGCATATTACCTTAATAAAACTATAATGTCCTTCAAATACGACCAACCAAATACAATTATAAATTAACTAATGCATTAGGATTTACATGTGCACCTTTTGTCATGGTCTCGCCACGAGTTAATGCTTATTTGTTATGTTAACGAAAAATTTTTTTTCCTGGATGAGTTTGTAATTTTCTCAAATTTCTAACTGTGAGAGAAAATGATACAAATGTTTCCTAGAAATGCCAAAAAAGTATGCGAATAGGTTAAAGGCGCATACTGCGCTTCACAATACATTTTTTTGAATTGAAATTTCATGTTAAATTCCATGTGCTTACGCTTCGCGGCAGATATTGCGATATTCCGTCCGTTTTTAAATTATTTTTTCAGAGGGATTGGAGACACTCTTATTATGCGTATGTGCTTTACGATGTTTCCATCGATCCCAGCATCATACAAAATGGATCAGATTTCGAACCATCCTTTTGATGTCGTCTTCAATCGTTTCGTTCAACTAGCAGATGCAGATGTCGACGATAACGCATTACCTGCTTTGGTATCGAACTGAGTATGCTGTTCATTTATCAGTCACAGTTGTGTTTCAGGAATATCTGCAGGAACTGCTTGAATTCGTCACAATGGAATCCGGATATACGGAGCCATTGAATGTGCAGGAGGAAAACCGATTGGCTCGTATCAAAGAAAGGGCGCGCGAGTGTGAAGACAATCACATCCGTATATTATTGCTTTAATATAAAATTTCCTAATCAGAACATTTAGAACGCCTTATTCAATTGAATGATACATCAAATGACGAAATGCTGGCGCGTTGCATGCATGAGCAAGAGGAAGAAAGAGTCCGAGGTATGGGGCGCGTAGTGGGCAAACTCGGGCATACAAAATTGGGGTGTCATATTCAAAATTACCGCCTACCTAATAAAGATGCAAATGAACAGTAAAAATGAAAAAAGAAACATTTAAGAATATTGAAAATAAACTAAATTGAGTTCTCTGCGGATTATGAATTTTTGAAGTGTGCGCAATTCAAATTTCCTATTCTGCTATCGCATTCCACAAAAAATTGTTGAAATAATACTCTATCCTCAAATCAGCAGAGTTTGTGCGGCTTTCACCAAACTTTACACTGTTTTTAATTAGTGTCTGCGCGATTTTTCCAACATCAAAATCACATTTTGTTTTGAAAACCTTTTTTTTTACACATATTCAATTTCAGGAATAAATTCGTGCTCTCAAACGGAACTTGAAATTCTGCGCTATTTGAAGGCTCATTTCCTTGGTCTTGAAGAGGAAGTCATAGAGAATGTGTTTATAAAATACGAGTTCGCTAATTATTTACATCAACAATTGATTAATGTGGTCATTTTAGTTTCGACTACAGTGCTTCTGTCGCGTTTTTGAATACTGTAGTTCAAAACGGAAACGTTTCATTAGAAATTGTATGTTTTTTCACTGTTCGCTGTTGTCGTGTGAATTTTTAACGAATGATTTCAGCCAAAAGTGACAATCAAAAGATCGGCGAACCGCATGGAGCATGCTGAGAATCGCACAGCCCCGATGCCGAAGCCTATCGTTTGCAAATCGGTAGAATCTCCGAGAAACAATCTTGGACCGGTACAGGCGAAAGTTCTTGAAATGCGCAAGGATTTAGAAGTAAGCCAATTATTGAAAAAAGCAGTTATTGATTTTGTGATTTGAAGAGTCGCTCGGGATCCGCTGTCGAATATCAAAAGAAAGCATATTATGCAAGTTCGTCGACGAAGGCGGCTATCGTAAGATTTTGCCAATAAAAAATTAACCTTAGTATTTAGCGATTATAATTTTTAAGGATTATCGAAGAATAGATTTTTGAGGTGTTATGAAAATGCATGTTTTTTCAGCAATTTCTTGCATCCGAGAAAATGAAGGAAGTGCGATCGGTAACACGAAAGATGGATCAGATGATTCGAGAAGCACACAAGGATTTGACGAATTTGGATCTTCATTACATGTCGGTCGAAGGAGCAGTGGCATTCGTGAGGGATGTCGTCAATAACTTGGCAAGTAGTAAGTTTTTAATTTTGAGTGATAAATTTTCGTCCAAATTGCTTTAGAAAGACGTATTTATGTTATCACTGGCGCTGGAAGGAACTCATCGAACGGCGTTGGTGAGATCAAAGCGGCAGTTCTTGATTATCTCGAAAAGAACACTGCTGTGACATACTTCTTGCAAAACGACGGTTGTGTGAAAGTTGTGAAAAATTAGTCAACCCGACACTGTGACCTGTGACTTTTTTCTCTTCATTTTCTTCTGTAATTTTTTTTCTTCAATTAATATATATTTATTTATTTCAAGAAGCCGAATTCTTCTTTTCTCACTTTAAAACAAATTGATCGATGCAGTTTTTGAAGAAAATAACCTCGAACATTTGTGCGTTAGCATTTGTGTGTCGTGTCTTATTGCAGACCGCATCAATGCTCGGAATCTCGTTTAGGTTTTAAACTGGATGTTGAGATTATTTTCCCCAAAATCTGCACAATACAGTTATTTCATTTGTTCATATTTTTGAGTCATTTTCATTTTGTGCGTGTGCTTTCTCGATTGTCCTCGAATACTTACTTGTGTCGATCGTTTCAAAACGGTGGTCAGTTTTTGCTCAAATGATATTTTTTCGTTGCTTTTTCTAAAAAATTTAACCAAATTGATTATGTACTAATTTCTTGTTAATTTGTGAAATCGACATCCACACAGCGATTGCTTAGTTTGGGAATTTTTTCTGTCATGCACATTTGAATTTATCTTTCACTTGTAGGTTGTTGGTCGTCGGTTTTACAAAATGTTCATGTATTATTTTCGTTTGATGACGATATTTATTCAACAGATTTAGCGTTTTGAAACTTTCAGTTGTCCTTGGTTAAGCAGCTCGAATTTATAATGAATTTTGTTAGACGTTAAATAGTTTTGAAGGTGCATCATTATCTGTCCTCGTCCATTTCGACTGCCGGTAATCACAGACAAATATATTCCTGAATCCCGTTGTTTGGTGATTTCGAGTTGGTAATTCATTCGCTACCTTTCTTCATACCACTCATCACTTTGATAAAGTAATCAGTTGCTCCTTTTGCTGACATGTAGTGCAAATCAAGTTCGCCTTCATTTTGGATCGCGTTCCGAATCACATCATCGATTCTTTGTCGTTCGAGGCAAATGTCTTGCCGCTGAAATTGAGAGAAGCATTCAAATGCATTTAAACAAAAAAAAACCGTGTAAGTGATCGATTCGAAGGGCGTCCACGGATCAAGCAGTTTGGCCAGCTTTTCCTGAAAACAAATGTAATGATCTTATATTAATCCAGAATTGAATGAAAAATCTTTCCCGTATCCAAAAAACAGTTTTGAAAATCGAAATCTTCTTATAGTCGCTATCCAACGACTGTTGTACGCGGGTAGATTTACGGGGATGCGTCTTTCTATTGGTCTCGTATGGACTAGCTCGTTGTTTGGAATTTTATGGGTCTGTTCAATATTTTTCAAGTCGACTGACGTTGGAAATTGAAGGAATTGCAAAACTCTTCGAGAAAATCTTAACCGTTTACGTGAAAACAGCAAATTAAGCGTTCACGCGTTGCGAGACCATTTCAAGGCGCATGCGCGTAAATCTACCCTCGTATAGAAGTCCTCAAAAAATTTTTTTTTGATCTTCGAATATCAAGAAATTATCGTGAAAATTGTGAGTAAATACTACTCAATCGCGAGAAATTAAAAAATAATCGATTAAAGGCTCACAATGTGTACAATTAGTTGGGTCTTGTGGCGACTGATTATGTTAATTACATTTTACGGTAGCTTCCCCCGGAAGAGAACTCGGCCGCAATAGAACTCGATTTAATATTCAGTCAGACAGTGGCGAAAATCGTGTTGCGAGATCCAACTCTCCGCCGCGCGACTTCGACAGTACGAATTCTCGCAACGCCGCAATGATTTTAGCTTGCACATTGAAGGCTTTTCGTTGCAGACAAGCTTGTTTTTTGTTTGTCGGTCTGTTACTTCGAATTATGCAAAACAATCGTCTCGTCGCTTACGGTGCCGTGTGTTATTGTCTACAGAAATTGACAATTCTAATTGGAATAATAATAATAATAATTCTAGCAACGATAATAATTGTTATTGTATTATAAATAATAATAATAATAATAATAACAGTAAACAGGGATTGCACTGTAAATATTTTTAAGCTGTCTGCTTCTGAACAACTCATCGAATGTCTGGAAGGAGTTCATGGAAAGAAATCAAATAATTTTGCATCGCAATAGTTCAAACAAAGAATGAAACCAATGAAACCAACCCGCTGTTCTCTAGAAAATACTGTGCCGACCAAATGATATCTTTTCGATTTTGAGGGTACTTTCCAAAAAGGGCCGATAGGGCTTCGTCAAATGTTTAATGGAGCCTACACTTCGAAACGAACACGGCCCAATTTTGCTAAAAAGGTCCATGCCTTGAAATGTGAGCTCAGAAAATGGACCCATATCAAAAAATGGTGCTTATAAAATAAAACTTTTTACAGATCAGAAACTCTTTGTTTTTTTAACCTCTTTTGTTCCTATTATTTGGCATTGTCTGCCCCTGATTCGAGTATGCATGCTTACATCACATTTTTTGTGCAACTCGATCGCCAACACTTTTGCATCTTCGATCTTCATTTTGATTTCTTTTCTTGATTGAGTCCTTCCTTTCGGAAATTCCTTTTTCTTAACGGTTATCTGAAAAATAAAAAAGAAGACCAAATTGGCGAAGTGAAATCAAAACACTTACAAAACCATCTAAACATGGATCAACTTCATCTTGCTCGAATGTTCCAATTTGATGTCTTCAAAAGATTGAAATTAAACATTTTTGGAATTTCGCCAATCAATTACTCTTTCTCCTTTTGAACATTTTTTGCCGACAATTTCTTTCCATTTTGGCGTTTGTTTCGGATCGGAGACTCAGATTTCGTCTTATCCGACTGAGGTGTGATAGCATCGATCGGACGGCAAAATTGAGGTAGAGGGGAAGAGTGATTCGAATTCACACCAAATGTATTTGGAACCGAGAATTTCCGCGATTTTTTCGAATTCTTCTCCGCGATTTGTTTTCCATCTTCAATTAATTGATTTTCAAACTTTTTTTGTCGCTCAATCGAATTCACCTCTTTTTCTGGTAATCTTTTTGGTTTTTGGCGATTTCGAATTCTCCTTGATTATCTCTTTTTCGATGTTTTCTGCCGCATATTTGAAACCAAATCCAATGATTGAGAAGATGAAAATTGGAGTCTTTAAAATGAAAAAAAAATTCAATTTGAAACATTGTTTGATTTTAGTTGATAATCTTGTCACTTTAAATTGCAGAATTCAAAATTTTGAATTTCGAAAAGAAAAAAATCTCGACGACACCAAAATTTCTTTCAACTGATATTTAATACTAAAAATACATATGTGATTTTTTATATATAATCGTTCGTGTGTACAAATGTGCAACACGAAAGTATATAAGCTTGGTTTACGCAATTCGCAGCTTCTTTTAGAATTTATCTCAAATATATATATTTTTTGTTTTAATCGGAGTATGGCAAACTAATTATGAATGCTTAAAATGCTTAATTGAAGACCATTCAGCAATCGAATTTCTGACAAATTCTCAATTTTTGATTCGGTATACTGTATTAATAATATATGATAATTGATTTGTGTCGACTTACCAAAAAATTACAGCATGGCAGAACATCTTTAATGAACATTTGTCGGTTCATTTGCAGCCAGCGGGCAGGCCAGCTAAAAACAAAAAAGGAATCGGCCAGGTTGCGGTGGAGAAAGTGAGAGAGCGAAATGAGTCGAATGATGAACTGACAGATGTTTTTATAAGGAGCACAGTGCTTCTGATCTTGAAAACAAACGCGGGGAGAATTGCAATAGAAGGCGTCGGCGAGGAAATAATAATAATAAAAACAGGTGTCAGATGGAAGGGATAAGAATGGAAAAAAATGAGAAGAAATCCATAAAATTGTGCGCGATATTTTGAACGTTTTTCGTAGGTTTTCGAATTGGCATCCAAAAACGAACAATTAATTGAAGATTCGCTTTGTGAAGGCGGCTCAATGACTCAATGAATTTCACATTTATTTATTATTTTAAAAATTGTTTTAAGCAATGAATTTTTAGATTTGACAAAAGAAGAGAAAAGGAGATACAGTGCATCAAAATACCCCTTCTTCGCTGTTGAATTTCACACGAGCAAGCGGTCGAAACGAATGAGATCGTCGTCGATCGCTAATTGCCGAATGCTCATAATTTCGAATCTTCGCTTTTCTGTTTCACCGCCTTTTTTCAAATCCAATAAATCTATTGTTGTTGATCTCGTTTCCCACCATTATTGCGCAACTATTCAAACCTTTTCCTTTTCTTTTTTTGTTCGATTTTCGAATTGCAATTCAAACTCGAACACTCTGCGCGGCTCGCCTGTCTTTCGATGTCTCTACCGACATCTTGTGCTTTTCCCCGAATAAAAAATGGGTGGCATTTCACCATCGAACGATTCCTGGCAGATCATCTCATTTTCTAATCCTCTACTAGTTGTGAAAATCAACCGAAACATATTCGTTTATGTGTTCTCGATCGTCTAGAATGTATTATAAATGAGTAATAGGGTTTCTCAAAAAACTTATTCTCACGTTTTCAATAATTTGAAAAAGCCGTTCGAAAATTTCAATAATAGTTCGAAAAATCGCGGAAATTTTCAAAAATCTACTCGAAAGCTGATTTTATGAAGTAAATTGATGCTAGTTTCGCACATTATCCTAATACTATTTATATTTCGAAAGCTTTAATGATTGCTGTAGGAAATTAAATTGAAAGATCGGCTTTGAAAGAAAACGTAGGAATGAAAATAAATCGAGTATACAGTGTTGGCTGTCTTCCGTCTTGTTTTGATATCAGTAAATTGTTTTCATATGCATTAAATAAATAACATGTATCCATATTGCAACTTCTTCGAATTTTCATTTTTATATTAGGCCGTTCACAAGAATTTCTCTTTTTTTTTATTAATTTCTTCTCGTTTCTTGCCCTTTAAAATTATTCGCCAGTGAGAAAAAACAGTTTGCGATTCGAGAAAGTCTGAAAATCCAATTTTGAATCTGTTTCCGAGAATTTTGTGTAAAAGTTGACCCCGGCACAACATCTATCCTCATTTTGCCATAAAATTTCTATGCAAAATGGACGTTGATAAGCAATCCTTGTCGAAATTAAATGAGGATGTGTTGCTCAAAGTTTGGAAAATTCTCCTGAAATAATCAGAATTCTTGTTCTGAAGCCGAGCCGGGCCGGTCCAGGCCGAAGACGTAGCCGGCTGAAGCCAAAAGGCCCAATAAAAAAATTTTATTGTAGAAGTAATTTCTTGAAATGAATGTTATTGAAGAGTTAATATTTGAGTTGAGCTTGATGATTTCCGCTTATCCGTTCGTATGAAATGCTAAAGTCTTGCTGATCCATATTTTGGCTGGCTGGCGGCTGAAACGAATAATCTGAAATTAATTGATAAATGGCCAGTCAATATTCTTCTAAAATTTAGAAAAAATGTTTGAAAATATTGAAAAGAACAGAATTTGATGAGTTTTTTTTGTTTGAAATTTTGAATCATTTGATCTCATTCTCGAAAATACGCGTATTGTCGGAAAATTGGCTAAGTGCCAAAGAAGTTGGAAAAGAGGTCTCGATGCGTGTTGTGCGCCTTTAATCTAGACCCGTAAATCTACCCAGTCACATTTTTGCGCCAAGATTGCAACCATTATTTTTTGGCGATTTGCTATTCTTTCGTAGTCGCGCGACGTCGACAATAAATTGTTTTGACAGTGTGAACCATGACTACAAAATTCGAGCGAATTCGACACAAGTCAATATCTGAGGGGGTGACAAGTCGCGAATTGTAAAAATTGTTTCCTCCCATTCATTCGAATAATTTTGTCAAGTTTTTTCTTGGCACAAAAAACGTTCAATTCAACAATGATTGCTGCTTTTGTTGGCCGATACAAAAGGAATTGCAACATTAGTTTAATGCTGAGCGAATGATTTTGTTCGAAGCTGACTGATGCCTCTCCGCCGGGCCGGGTTCATCGAGTTCATCTCGGCTGGTATCAACGACGATCAGAAATGTGATCGACTTCAGAATACGACCACGTGGCCGTGTGTTGGAAGCACATGTCATTTCGAAAAGACTGTACTGTTTCGAGAGGGTCGCGACGATTCTTGTGGTCTCCGACATGCGCAAAGAACGTTTCTGCACACTTATTTTGCGATGAAATGAATTCGAACAATTTGTTTCGATGAGAATTGAAGTTCAATTATTGAACACTAGAATGTAACCCAAATATGGTTTTGAAAAAAAACTGATTAGTCTGAAACAATCTTTTGAACAAATTTTACATAAACTAGAAGAATTTTGAACAAAAAATTAAAAATTTGAACAATGTTTCGAAAAATCAAGTTTGAAGCGACGGAACCACATTTAAAATGATTCTGATACTTTTTGAGCTTCACGCGAATTGCAAAACCTGACCAAATGATGGTTCGAAGACCTCGTCTGTACTTCTGGTGGGTGTATCATTGAAATATTCTATCTTTGAAATGGTTGCCGGCTGAACGTTCAAATATCTCTCGTCGATAGTTCGTTGATCAAAATGATCTATTTCTTTTCGAAATTCTCATTCGGAAATTAATGAAAAGTCGCATTTTGATCGAGAATATCGGAAAAAAGAATTCAGAAAATGTCGAGAACATCGAATTAATACAAAAAATATATAATTGTTCCGAAAATAAAACGCTGAAAATTAGAATTGCGAGGAGGATCAAAGACGGCCAATCAAATTTAGTGTTTTTTTTCCAAAAACGAAGGCCACTTTAATATTACTGAGAAGATTTTCAAAAACTTGATTTTCGCTTGTTCTGATCAACTTCCGCGGCGGATAAGAGCGGCTGATCATCTGATTCTGACTCTCTTTTCTTTATCCTTTATCTTGTTTCTTTATTTATGTAATTTTGATTCTTATATCATTTCTGAATCAAGAATTCTCTACTATTTTTGGCATGTGATTGTTCACTCCAGATTCGAATACGATCGTCACAACAATTGGAATTGATGGGCGTGGTTTGATTCAAATTGAACCCAGAACGCACCAAAGCTGATAGGGGATGCCTCGAAAATAGAATGAATGGTCGCCGTTTTTGCAGCGTCCAACTGTTTATTGGCCTCCTGACGTCACAAAGTGGGCGGGGCTACAGTACCTCACGACGGTTCACCATAAAAGGAGCTAATGGGGACCGAGAAATTCAGGCGTTTCAGTGTGGAGAATATCATGAGATTTCATTTGACCATCGTCTTCATCTTCGCTCTTTTCTTCGTGTTTGAAGGTAATCCGAACGAAATGAGCATTTGTCGACACATAATCAATAATTCCAGCAATTCAAGCGCATTCCCTTCGTGAGCAAGCCTACAAAATTGTCAAGAAACGCGATGATGTTCGCACTGATAATGGAGAAAAATCCATCAAATTGTCGCCACACACCATCAAAGACATTGTAAGTGAATTGAGGATATCGAACCCTCCAATAATCCTCTTCTTCTTCATCTTTTCAAGAATCACAGAGTCAATTTCAAAATATTTCAGTTCCCACGCGCATTCCATTAGAAAGTCGTCGCCTGAAAATTCAATGATTGCCTCGAACCTGAAATATCGCCTTCAATTTTTATTTTAAATTCATTTTCTTTTCATATAATTAATTGTAATATAGACGCATGTTTGTACAAATTTGTTTTGTTTTTTTTCGTTCCATAAATGTGTTTGTTTCACCGGTGCGACTTCCCTTGTTAGAGCAACTATTTCAGCTAAAATATTCCGATTCAATTTACCTTTGAATTTTCCAGCAACCTTCTAATTCTATTGGTCTTCCGGATAATCACTGAAATTAAATTCTGTCTTCAAAATAGAATCTTTTTGAATGTCTTCATAAAGATCAGAAGTTTTTTTCTTAAACAATTTATAAATCAGGGAATCTGTATCTTGATACCATAAACTAATATTTTCACCATATTTCTTCTGCATAACATTGCACATTTTGACCCTTGTTCATGGGGTATTCTATTTACTGCCCATCAGACATGGCAATGGGACCAGGCCCTCCGGTTTCATGAAAATGGTTTAAAAATTCGGCATCTTAAAATTCGTAATATCTCTTTGATTATAAAGTAAAAAATAATCGAAATTTTTAAAATTTCAGAGAATGATCCTGCAGTCTAATATATCAGGAAGGGGATAATAAATCTTATCAAAACTTTCAAAAAGGAATGAATATATTGAGGGTCTGAATTCGAAGATTTTTTTTTAAATTTAGGAAAACGATCCTATCGATGTGGTATGTCAGAAAATGTTACTAAAACGTGTCAATAGTGTAAAAGGGTGTCCGAATTCGATATTGGCACGATTTTTTCTCGTATTAATTTTTTAATTATAAGACTGCTATATTGATTTTCTTAAATTTTGAAAAATTTCGAATTCGGACCCCTTAGGAGCTGTAAGCCCTTCATTGGAGATGCGGGTTTCTTTTACAAGATGTTCATGTTGTTCGAAGTCAACGTTAGTTTGGCGAACGTTGCAAGTAAACAAATTCCCACTTTATTGTAAAGTTTATTAGAATAAATTGAAAACAATTTTAACCGGTTAACAAAGAAAATTTAAAGCTAGCATAT